AATGAATGTAACTGTACTGTATCCCTAAAGTGTACCAATAAACTCAATTAAAGCTGAAAAAAAATTTGTTCGTGGTATAATTTAAGCTTTCTTTCAGAATAAAACAGCAGAAAGACAGGCAAAGTAAACTGAATTTATATTGAAGCACATTTAACTAAAGCTGCAAAGTTTTAAATATGACTGAACACAGACATAGGTTTGATTCTTGATAATTTATGTGCTAAATTGTGTCCCTTATAAATTCAGATGTTAAGGTTTTAAACTTGATTGCCAAGGTAATCAAGACTAAAGGAGATTATAAAGGTAAAGCCCTAATTCAGTCGGACCGATTGTGTTTTTAGAAAAGGAAAGGCACTAGGAGTTCAGTAGAAAGCTGTGGTAAAAAAGTAGTCAAGGAGAGAGGCCTTAGAGAAATCAGCCCTATTTATACCTTTATCTTGGATCTCCCACTTCCAGAAATGTAAGAAAATAAATTTCTTTTTTTAAGCTACTTCCTGTGGGGTACTCTGTTTTGGTAGTATAAACAGACTAGTCCATTTTTCTTTTTGTTTTTGAACATTTGCAAGTAAAAGGACAGTAAAATCACATTGGGCATAAACTTGAAAATACAAACTCCTTCTCTTTTGAACTGATTACATGAGTCTGTTATTTAAGGGTTGGGGATGTAGTTCCATGGTAGGGCTTTTCCATGACACATTAAGGATCTGGGCTCTATACACAGAACAAAGAAATTACAACAGTATTTTTTATTATTAAGAACCTTGAGATGATACATTAGTAATAATATATTCAACTGGTTAACTGGTTACTCTCTGTGATTAATATACTATATGCTGTTTAGTTGTGAAAATTATGTTTCTGTGTGCATATGTTTAGATGTAGTAGGTATCAGGAAAGACAATAAGAGAGTGTAGGGGGAGAATACTTTAAAACAGAACAAATGATCAATTTATAAGGGAAAAATGAATTATGTTGTAAGCTATGTGAAAATATTGTATGGAAAACCTAAACATTTGAATTCAGTTAAAGTGGTTCACTTTGCAGGATTTCTACGAAGTGAAAATACAAATTTAAAACAAACAATAGGAAGCAAGGTAATTTTGCTAAAGAATTCATATTAGAATCCCTTATGTGTTCTATAAAATATATGGCATTTAGGCATTTTACTTTTTAATGGGTCAGACAGGATGTGAGAAATCGAAATAACTAGCACCCCAGGGCAAGATCAAGAATCTATGGGTTAACCAGGGTGGGAGGAATTCTTGGATACTTTGTGTGCAGGCAAACTGTTTTCCTAGGGAATTTGTTCTTGAGATTCACAGTATTAAGAGCAGTATCTTTCCAGAAATGACAAGTTGAAGGGGCTATAGAATAAATTGTGATCTTGTATTCAGAAGATGCTTTGATACGGACAGAATAAATCATGTTGTGTTAGTGTGAGTCTCAGTTTCTTACTGCAAAGCAAGGATCCAGCTCTCTGGAGAGGGGCAGAAAAGTCATTTGGTCCTCAGTGGTTGTAGAAGAATGGGAATCAGTGTGTCAGAACTCTCTTCTCCACCTGCATTCCTGCACATACTGGGTGAATTTCAAGTTTACTGGTACAAAAGACCAGCATGGAACTGGAGAGATTTCTTTCCATTCTAATTGGCTCTGGTGATCCAGGCTATGAGTCATTTAGGTTAGAGGATAAGAAGGACAAGTACTGACTTAAATTTTTGTTTCAATTTGCAGGACATATTAGTAATGCACAATACTAAGGAACACGTCTATTGTAGTAATGGAGTGCTGTGCTGTTTTATCAACAACTTGTGGAGGCCAGGGAATTAGCTCAGTGGCACCAATGCCTGCCTTGCAAACTCAAAGTCTTGAGTTCAGTTCCTGGTACAAAAACAAAAACAAAACTTGTGGAATCGCCCCGAGTGAACCACAAATTCATATATTAGCTTTTCATATTAAAAGCCTGAGTCTGCCCGCTGGCCCAGGATGGTTTGCCTAAAGAGCCAGTAACTGGAGTGTGGGAGAACAACTTCCCACACCACTGGATGGCAAGACAACAGTGCAGCTAAGGGCAGCACGACTTGTACAGAAAACTCCCATACAGGCACAAACTAATCCATGGGAAGAAACATGTTTCCCATCAATCTATGAGCTGTTCTTCCTAAAATGTTTCATTTCCTTGTCGCTAGAATCCTGTTCACCTCAGAGCTTTCTACTTCAGCATTCCCTGCACCTCCCCTTACCGCTTCTAGAAGCTGCATGTTCAGTACACAGTGACGAGATCCAGGAGGTAGTGTCTTAGCCAGATAAGAGCTTTGGTCATCCTGGGTCCCCCATTTATTCACTGACATCTTGTCTTTCTTCATTTTTGCCGTCAGAAAACTTTAGATGCCATATAAATGTCAAGAAGCAGTGAGCAATGTTGATCTAATTAGCTAGACCTATTGTTGCTCAAATAGTCTATGCCCTGCTCTTAATGAGTACTACTGACAGAGGAGGTTGTGGAGTTAAAAAAAAAGAGGTACAATAAAAGAAGAGAGACAACGCTGCAGCGAACTGATACTGACAAATGTTAAACCGAGATACTTGCTGAAATAAAGACAATTACCTGCTCTTCCCTAGGTACGCATAACTCTCATTAGTGATAAAAGAAGTTTTGTGAGCATTCCAGAAACACTGTTTTTGAGTAATATTCTTGGAGGAAAGACTCCAGGCAACATCTAGAATAGTTGTGGAAACATAAACAAATCAAAATTAATCAAGTAAGCTATTTTGGAATTTGACTTATTGTAAGAATTTTTATGTCTTTGGAATCTTTAGATTATGAAGCTCATTCTAGAAAACCAGATAGCTCATTATAAGTCTTGTTCTCTCTCTTCTCTGCTCTATCTCTACACCCTCTACACTAAATATTTATGATATTTATATATTAAAAAATATAAACCTAGCATGGGAGCATTGAATAGAGTCATGGGGACTTTGGAGGTTGATGGACATGGCCTTCGATTGCTGCTCTTCACCTTATTAGTAGTGAGCCTCAGCCTCTAATCCATTAAATGGAAACACAGATAGCACTTCCTTCAGGAGCTCTTCTGAGAACTACACGTAATGTTTCCAGAGTGCCTGGTGTACACCGAATGCCCTCTAAATACTCCTTATCATAGTAATTTAGTGATCAGAGAAGGCTTTAGTTTGGCCAACTAAATGCTTTGAGAAAAACAAAACAAAATTAACTTAAGATTGAACTGAGGCCAGAGTTTTAGCTCAGTGGTTCCTCCGCCTGCCTCGTAAGCACAAGGACCTGAGTTTGATCCCCAGTACCGGGAAAAATAAAAAAGATTGAACGGAGTCTTCAGTAGAAATCAAACCAAGGACAAATCAGTTTTGCAAATCATTGCATGAGTTTCAAACTAAGATACTCAAAAGTCACATTCTACTTCTAGTCTCACTGAACATGTGCAAAGTACATTTCAACAGATTAACAAACCACAGACAGGTAATTGAACTATTTAGGACAGAATCTCACAAAGCAGTTAATTATGTGGCATGAATTTTTTACTTGATTGCAGCATCCTTCCTATTGAGTCGGGGGAATACATCCTTCCCGTTGAGTGGGGGGAATACAGCAAACCATTCTGCATTGGACTAGCCCTGGAGTTTGGCTCAGTCTTCTTTTCATTAGATGTTGTTCAACGTTGCATCATTTGTGTATTTAAGCTCAGTATTCAGCCTCTAGTTTTGTCTAAAGAAAAAGCAAAGCCTTTCTACCCTGATTTGGAAAGGTCAAGTTAGTACTTCATACTTAGCAATCTATGTATCGTCTAGGATGTTGGATATTGGATGACTTGTGAACTGAATCCCTTCGAAATGCTTCCCAGGACTGCTGGGCTCAAGCCCAGTCTTTAGCCAGCAGGGATGAAGGCCTACTGGAATGAGAGTGTCCCACATTCTCCCTGACCTGCAGTGCAGAGAGGGGTAGAGTCACTCCAAATAAAACCTTGGGTTGAAATCCAGTTTATTTCTAGATGTTTCCACTAATTAACTACTCAGTGATTCCGTTTTGCTAATACTGACGTTTATTTTGACAAATGGCTAATCTTCCTTTCTTTTATTTCTTTTCTTTCTGAAGATTTTGGAGTCAGGCAGCTACAGCCCCAAAGCAATACAACTGACAATTCCAAATTTGCTTCAACACTTCTTGGAACTTTCTCAACAGAAATGCCTTGGGCTCAAGCTCTGTCCTTCACAGCCCAGACTCCTGCTTTATTATCCTGACATTTTGTTCTGACCTCTGTTGACAGCTTCTGGCCTCTAGTGTGCACTCTCTTTAGTTGCTTCTTTTATTTATAACTAATGCTCTCCTGCTGGGCTCAGACAAACTCACTGATTTGTGATCTAGTCATACTTGTGTCGCTCTATCTAATATAAAGTCTTGTCTTATTCTCTAGCACCTCTTTTTCTGTTCCTGACGTTTATTTGGTTCTTTGCATTTCCGTTTTGTTTTCTTTCCCTTTCTGGATACAGATTTAAAATGTCTGGGGAACATCTGAGAGGAACAGCAATTGCCAATCAGAGAGAACACTGTGAACCATACCTTATGAGTTCAAAGCACTTTATGATTGTACAGCTCGTATTCGCACACACAGTATCTTATTTGACCCTCACAACAACCCTGTGAGGTAGGTATTGATGGGTGTGTCTGGCAAGGGAGGGGACAGAAATAGTGGAATATGTACAAGCATCTATTTAGAAGATACTTGAACCTAAAGGTGTGAATTTGATGCTGTGAGCTAAAACTGGAAAGAAAGGAGACTTGTGAGAATGTAGTCTGTTAATCAGTAGCAAGACTCTGAAAGGTGACATAGAATAATATGTATCTCCCAGTTCTTTTTTTGCCTGCCTTTTCTTACCTTTCCTGCTTTTCCATTTTCTTCCCTTTCTTTGCCTACATGATATGTTTCTTCTTCTACCGAGGCATTCCTTTTTCTCCATTCTTTTTACTTAAAACATAAAATATAGGAGATTTTTGGAATAAAAATTATCAGCATTGCTTTTTCCATGATCAACATGGTTTTTGGAAATGAATAAGCAATTTAAAGAAACAAATTCAGGTTTTGATTCAAATGTGTTGAATAATCTCAGCTGTGTTTCACTTTAAAACTCAGAAAAAAAATATGCCCTAATTTTCAGAATAAAAAGACAGGAAGGTAAACTACACAAATCAAACTAAACTTAATTTTGATATTCTAAGTAATTAAAAGTCTTTATCTTCTTTGGGTTCCCCAAACTGAGTGAGGGGACAGCAGAGGACACCTTTCCCTGTATCTGAGGAAGAGCTAGAGCATTCTGCTAGTGTACAAGGGTTTGTGCAGGCTTGGAGCAGAGCTGATGATGGGAGAGAAAACATGGTATAAAAGGCAGGAGAGGCCCAATGGCACCAAAGATCAGGAGAGAAGCCATGTAGAAGCCAGGCATGACGCAGGAACCAAGGTCATTTGAAGGAGTCACAAAGGGGTCTTGGGAGTCAGTTGTGCTGATGACTTGTCCAGAGATGAAGAGCCTTTAATGAGATGGCATCAGAGGGGTCCTGCCCAACCCACCTGATCTTAAAAATGTTCTGACCAAATAAAATCAGGGTGTTGTACTGGTCCTGACACATACATGAAAGAGGAAATAAATGATTATTTTTATTACATTTAAATCTTGCCTGAAACATAAAATGTACCTTGAGATAATTCAGTGTAATGTTTCATATATCAGAATTAAAGATGTAGAGAATCATGTATTTTCATACACAGTGAGCTACTAAAACCTTTATGGAGTCATTTGCATGAATTCATCAAATTATAAAATGCATATCACCTTTGAACCATTGATTCAAATTCTATGAATTCTCAAGAGAAATATAGTCTCAGAAGATCATGTATGAGAAGGGGGAATGGACCATTCTTTATTAAACCCAAACCAAAGCAAACAAAAATCATTAGGCATTCAAGATAAGGGGTTGGAGTGGTTATGCCTTAGTGACTAGTGTATAACAGTGTATTGGAGAAATTTGTGGTCACTAAGATAAAAGGAATGGAGCTATCTGTCATGAGAAGGACAGGTAACTGGTGTATTAAACATGGAAAATGCACAACACATCACGTTAGATGTGCATATATATGCTTTTTTCTTTCTTTGAAATGTAGCATTATGCACTCTCCATGGGTTAGGCCTAGAGACGAATCTGGAGACTACATAGATGTAGATGTAAATAGCTCTCATTGCTTTTCCAAAAAGAATGCACATAAAACTCAAAGTAGCCATGAAAAATTTTGTACTTGACAACATTTCTGAACATAGCTTTAAAAAATGATGGGGAGGGGAGGAAGGGGTGAAGGGAGAGCAGGGACAAGGGGAAAAATGAGAACCAAGACCTGTCATGTAGAGGTACAAGATCCCAATGATGAGTGTCACTGTACTGTATACCAAAAATGTACCAAAAAACTCAATGAAGAAAAAAAAACGTTCCAAGCATTGGCTAACCTCAGGTAACTGTGTGGCTGCTCAGTTTACAGACTAAATAAATACATAAATCATGAAGTTCCTATCTGCTAACCTCAACCAGATGTTCAGCAGCTCAGAGAAAGCCTTGGGGAAAAGGAGTTGAGCAACAACAACAAAAGTTATAGATAAAGATGCACATAAAGCTAGGGAAGAGAGACTTACAAGAGCATGACTGAAATAAAGTTGAGTGAAAGGTGAACAAGGGGAATAAAGAGAATACAGAAGATAAAAGTAACTGCCTTAAAGAATGAATGGACACAAAGAAGACTGAAAGTATGCTAACGCTGCTGCTACCTTAATATGAGAACAATCATCATCCTCAAATAACACTAAAGAATTCTAGGAAGAAGCACATCATGTTGCTCAGCTTTGAAACCATTATGGTGACTGTTTGCCTGGAATATTCTAGTACTTAGGAGGGTGAAGCAGAAGGATTGCACGTTTAAATACCACCTGGGTAACTTAGTGACTTAATGAGACCTTGGCCCAAAATAAAAGAAAAAATTGTGGCTGATTTTCACAATGACACCTATAAATTGTCTAAATGTGTTGTCCATACATAGTATTAGGTTAAAATACTTATTTTTGCAAAAGTGTAGAAATACTGGTATTGTACTTTTAGAAACAATGACTGCAATGAAAAAGTGAAAGATTTAGGTGCTTCAAAGAATTTGTCATAATTTGCACAAACAGACCACTGAAAGAATAGATTATGTTAGCTATTCCCGTAATCCCATAGTGCAATATCGCTAGGGCCCTCCCATTGAGAATACGTGAGAAGCTGGGTATAGCAGTAGTTCACACCTGTAATCCTGGCACTTTGGAGGCTGGGACAGGTGGGAGTTCAAGGCCAGCCTGGGCTACATAGTGAGTTCAAGACCAGCCTGAACTGCACAGCAAGAATTGTCTCAACAAAAACAAAAACAGAAACAAAACAAACAAACAAAAAACCCCAAGAGAATATAGGAGAGCAGCCCTTTGATGAGGGTCCAAGTAGAGATTCCTCATTTCCTCTTCACAACTTCTTCATTGTATTAGTGTAGATTTGGCCTAAACACATACCAAATTACTCAGAGCATAACAAATTGATGCACCCAATGTAATACTTAGCGTTGGGTTCAATCAATAGTTTCTCTACTTTGTATGAGGAAGTCTGCAATTCCACTGACAAAGATCCCTGTTGCAAAATCTCTTCTCTTAGAACTACTACCATTACTCTTCAAACTTTTCAATGAAATTGAAAGAGAAGCTATACTTCCAAATTCATTCCTGGAAGCAAGTATCACTCTGATTCCCAAACCAGAGAAAGATACAACCAAAAAGGAGAACTACAGACCAATCTCCTTAATGAATATAGATGCAAAAATCCTTAATAAGATACTAGCAAACAGAATACAGAGGATTATTAAGAAGATCATCCATCATGACCAAGTCGGATTTATTCCAGAGATGCAAGGGTGGTTCAACATACGAAAGTCAGTGAATGTAATACATTATATTAACAAAGTCAAGGACAAAAACCATATGATCCTCTCAATAGATGCAGAAAAAGCATTTGATAAAATTCAACACCCATTCATGATAAAAACCCTGCAAAAAATTGGAATAGATGGTCTATACCTCAATTTAATAAAGGCTATTTATGAAAAACCATCAGCCAACATCATATTGAATGGCCAAAAACTGAAAACCTTCATGTTAAAATCAGGAACAAGACAAGGATGCCCACTATCGCCACTTCTCTTCAATATAGTTCTGGAAACATTAGCCACAGCAATTAGACAAGAGAAAGAAATTAAAGCAATAAAGATAGGAAAGGAAGAAGTTAAACTATCATTATTTGCTGATGATATGATACTCTACATTGAAGATCCAAAAAACTCCACCAAAAAACTTCTAGACTTAATTGACAGATTCAGTAAAGTATCTGGATACAAGGTGAATACCCAAAAATCAATAGCCTTTCTATACACAAATAACAGACAGACAGAAAGAGAAATAAGGGAAAAAATTCCTTTTACAATAGCATCCAAAAAAATGAAGTATCTAGGAATCAATCTAACAAAAGAAACAAAAGATCTCTACACTGAAAACTACAGCACTCTGAAAAAAGAAATCGAAGAGGATATAAAAAAATGGAAAGATATCCCCTGCTCCTGGGTAGGAAGAATCAACATAGTGAAAATGGCCATACTACCGAAACTGCTATATACATTCAATGCAATGCCAATTGAAATTCCAACACTATATTTCACAGAACTAGAAAAAAGAATCCAAAAATTCATTTGGAACCACAAGAGACCTAGAATAGCAAAAGCCATTATAGGCAACAGTCACATGGCACCAGGTGTAACAATTCCCAATTTGAAACTATACTACAAAGCCACTGTGATAAAATCAGCATGGTACTGGCAAAGAAATAGGCCTGAGGATCAATGGAACAGACTGGAAGACACAAAAACAAATGCAGATGTACTCAGCTACCTCATCTTCGACAAAGGAGCTCACCATCCTCAGTGGAGGAAAGATAGCCTCTTTAATAAATGGTGTTGGAAAAACTGGATATCAACCTGTCACAGATTAAAATTAGACCCTTATCTTTCGCCATGCACTAAATTAAAATCCAAATGGATTAAAGATCTAAATATTAAAACAGAAACATTAAACTTGCTGGAAAGTAAGTTAGGCAGAACTCTGGAAGACATTGGTATAGGAAAAGACTTTATGAACAAATCCTCAGTAGCACGGGAACTAGCAGAAAGAATCAACAACTGGGATCTCATCTTACTAAAAAGCTTCTGTACTTCAAAAGAAACCATTAGCAGAACTAAGAGACAATCTACAATGTGGGAAAAAATTTTTACCAGCTGTACCTCAGACAAAGGACTATTATCAAGGATATATAAAGAACTCAAAACAATCAGTCCCCCCAAATATAAAGACCCGATCCAAAAATGGGCATCCGAAATGAACAGACATTTCTCATACAAAGAAGTGAAAGCAGCAAGAAAATATATGAAAAAATGTTCCACATCACTGGTCATTCGAGAGATGCAGATGAAAACAACACTGAGATTCCACCTCACCCCACAAAGAATGGCTGCTATCAAGAAATCACACAATAACAAATGTTGGCGGGGTTGTGGGGAGAAAGGAACCCTCCTCCATTGTTGGTGGGAGTGCAGACTAGTGCAACCACTATGGAAATCAATATGGAGATACCTCAAAGAGCTTGGACTGGAGGTTCCATTTGACCCAGCCATCCCTCTGTTGGGTATCTTTCCAAGAGAACTAAAAGAATCATATCACAGAGAAGTATGTGCACCCATGTTTATAGCGGCACAGTTTGTAATAGCTAAATCTTGGAAACAACCTATTTGCCCATCCGTTGGAAACTGGATAAAGAAGTTGTGGTTTTTCTATAAAATGGAATATTACTCAGCCATAAAGAGCGAGAGAATAGATTCATTCATAGGAAAATGGATACATATTGAAGATATACTCCTAAGTGAAATAAATAAGTCCCACATGTGTAAATACCAAATAGTTTCCCTGGTGTGAATATTCTGCAACAATGCATAAGATTCTAATAAGATTACTGACATTTAGAAATGGGAGGAAAGGAGCTAAAGGTGTAGGGAAGGTGTGATACGTAGGGGAAGAACAAAAAGGGAAAAGAAAAAAATGTGAGAGAATGAAAAGATGAAAATAAAGTGTTTGTAGATGGGGAGGGGAGGAGGGGGTGAAGGGAGGGCAGAGGTAAGGGGAAAAAAATGAGAATCAAGACTTGCCATGTAAAGGTACATGATCCCAACAATGAATGTAACTGTACTGTATCCCTAAATGTACCAATAAACACAATAAAAAAAAATAGTCTTTCAAAATGTTTGATAGAGTAATTCATAGGAAAATGGATACATTTTGAGGATATACTCCTAACTGAAATACATAAGTCACACGTGTAAATACCAAACAGTTTCTCTGGTATGAATAAACTATAATAGTACATAAGATCCTAATGGGATACTTAACAATGTGAAATAGGGAGAAAAGGGCTAAAGGTATAGGGAAAGTGGGAAGGGTAGGGTAAAGGGAATAAGGGGAAAGAAAAAAATGAGAAAATGAGAAAAATGGAAATAAAGTGTTTGTAATGGGGAGGGGAGGAAGGGTGAAGGGAGGGCAGGGACAAGGGGAAAAAATGAGAACCAAGACCTGTCATGTAAAGGTACAAGATCCCAGTAATGAATGTAACTGTACTGTATACCTAGAATGTACCAATAAACTCAATAAAAAGAAAAAAAAATTAAAAAAAAAATCTCTTCTCTTGCAGGTTTGAAAATCTAGGATATAGAATATCAGTTTTTCAAGCTTTTAGTAAAGCTGAACAACCATTGCCTTCAGAGAATTAATCTTTCAAGTTCTTAGGTTGTCTAAATTCCTGTATGTAAGGTTTTTGTTAGTGCAGTTAGTAGGTAAAGAGGCTGTAATTGTTTCTATTCATAAACTTGATTTTCTGTCAGTGGATACAAATTGACTAGAAAATTGAACAATTTTCTATATGGAATTTTTAGAAAATAGTGCTCATCACAGAAGCAGAATACAAATGGGTAATGAGACTGAAGGACGTGTGTAATTTAATCTATTTGTTTTACTCCAATTAGCATGTTTCACTTGTGGAAAACTGAGCCTGACTTCCACAGAATCTATAGATCACTGCCAAACTGCTCAACATTTGTCTCAAGCCCAGACCATTAATGTGATAATTTTACTCATTTAAAAAATGCACACAGAAAAGAAGAAATTATAAACTTACAGAATGTGTTCCCACTTCCCTTTTCTCCCTTCTGTCCTTTTGGTCCAGGAGTTCCTTAAAGGGGAAAAATAGTTTAAACAGGTCAAGTCGAGTCAATCAGCCTCCCTGCCTCCCTCCCTCCCTTCCTTCCCCCACCTTTCTGCCTCTCTTATGTTTGGAATTGAACTTAGAGCCTTCTACATGATAAGCATATACCCTACCACGGAACTACATTCCTAGTCCCCCAAATACTTTACATGGAAATAGTGAATCACAAGGTAATATAAAATATCAATGTATAGCAACCTACAGGTAATGAAATAGAATAACAATGTTGATATTAATAATACCGCTTTTTAAATCCTATTATTAACCTGATATACTATTTCAATTTACTTCTAAAGGTGTCAAACGTTCCATTTTTGTAAAACAGAAATTGTGCCAAACTTATCCTCATGTTTTTCTCTGTGACTATCTTCTTCCCTCCTCCAGGAAACCCAGAATCTTCTATCTCATCCTAATCTTTGTTCTTTTATTTTCTTTACAATTCATCTATATCATTTTCCATTCTTTTAGGACAGAGAACCTCCCCCAAAGACTGAGCTGTGGATGAATTTCTGGGAGCCCGAATTTCTGATGACTTCAATCTGAATGAGAAAATATAAAAGTTCCTAAGCATCTAAACCTCTATACTGGTTGGTTTTGCCTTTAACAATCCCTACCCATTTGCAAAGACGCATGGCATAAATACTGCCATTTTGTATGACAGTCAGAGTGGCAAACCTTGGTTTTCACTAGTGGTTGGCTACTTCAACTACAGTTCCACTTTTAGAGGGCTTATATAGGGAGCTTGGGATATAGATCAATGTTAGAATTCTTGCCTAGTGTGCATAAGGCCCTGGTTTCAATCTCCTGTATATTTCCCATCCCCCTTCCAAAGAAAAAAGGTGTAAATAAAATACCTTCCTAGCAGAAATGTAGGACTGGTTCCAGTGCTGTCTGTCTCAAAGTTAAAACCTTTGTTAATGTTTTTGATCCACTCACCACAAAATCAAGAATCTCCGTCCTTTACTCACTGTTTAAAATTACAGATTTTGGAATGATATTTGTGATTTAAAAAACTTTGTCTTGGGCTGGGGATTTAGCTCAGTGGTTCGGTGGACTGCCTTGCAAACGCAAGGACCCGAGTTCAATCTCTGGTACCAAAAAAACCAAACAAACAAAAAAAAAGCTTTGTCTTGAATGATTTTGCTCTGCTGTTTTTTTAGATATGCACCTGAGGACTGTCTTTAACTCTTTTTGAGATAAAGTTTATCCCACTATAACTGAAAATAAAATTCCTCCCATTGTGGAGATGCCTTGAAAATTAGCCCCTATGTTCATAAAATATAAGCTCATAAGAGATGGTAGCCACTTCATTATTGTCTCTGTTGTTCAACTCCCTCAAGAATCTGATGTCTGTGATTTTACTCTCACTGAATGAAAACAGCTTTTTCAACACAGGTAGCATTTTGCGGCTCATTACTTTTAATTTTACTTTAAAGTTTTAATACTTAACATGTTTTTTTGTTTTAATAGCTTATTTTGTCTTCCTCTGAGCTTTGTGCCAACTGTTTTTTCTTATGTACCTCTTCAAGAAGATTTCTGATTCCTGATTTATTGCATTTAAAAAGTATAATATAATGTATAAAGAGTAGCATGAGACTTAAAAGAAAGTAAAAATTATAAATTATTCCCAACTGAAATTTTGAGGATTTAATGATATGCCAACTATTTCTTATTAGAGCACTATGATGAAAATTTCTAATTCCTAAATTGCTTTGCATAATATGATTCTATTTATATCATTAAATTCACATTAACTCTTAATTGTGATTGAGTCATTTTTAGGTACCATTAAATAGTAAAAAAAATCATTAAGTACCACAAAGTCTCCAGAATTTTTCTTATTTTTCCAATGGCGTCCTTTTATAAAGTATAGTAACAAATTTTCAGATTGTTCATTAATAAAATTCTACACAGGCTGGGGATATAGCTCAGCAGCACAGCACTTTCCTGGCAAGCACAAGGTCCTAAATTCAATCCCAGTACCTGCCCCCCAAAATAAAAAAATAAAATTCTGAGAAACTTAAGAAGAGGAGAGTTAAAACAACTGATCAGTTCTAATTATTTACCCAGAATATAGTAAAATGCTCAGTTTAATTTAGCCCTTTAAACATCAGTTTTACAACTTGGAAAGAGAGAGAGACCATACATGATTCTTGGAAATCTTAGTCTACAGCAATGTTTTGGACATCTGAGAACAGAGAAACACTAACCCACTTGTGATTTAATCTTGTTTTGTAGTGCAATGTAGTTAGGAAAATACATAAAGAGCTCAAAACAAAGTATTAATTTTTGCCAAGTAAACTAAGTAACATTATTTGAACAGATCATAGACTAATATAGCATTTTTAAATCTAAATTAAGAGTATAGAAAAAATTTATCCTTTCTTAACAGAATTATGTTGAATTATCTAGGAATCTGCAGGAGTTTTGCAATTGTGTCAAATTTGAGGTTTTAAATATATTTATCTATTGAAGTCAAATTGCCCATAAGTGAAATTTAGCAATCCTCAAGTGATGCAGATCATGTTGAGCAAAATAATCAACAAATGCTTCTTCCCATATTTCCAAAAGGGCCTGATTAAAGCTAGATGGCTTGGTGGTTGGTGCATAAATACACCACTCATTCCAGGTAATCAAATCTCTAGTGGAATCTAATTACAGGTTGCTTACCGGAGTATAGCTGATTTTTCTCCAAGCTAATAGGCATAGACATAGTTCAGATACTCTGATATCAGTAACACGACAACACATGTAATAAAACTTCTAAACTCCAAATCACTGATAACAGCAAATGCCAGCGAGCACGTGGAACAAGAGTTCTCACATTCATTGCTGGTAGGAATGCAAAATCATAGAGTCACTTTGCAAGACAGGTTAGCAACTTCTCACAAAGCTAAACATAGTTTACCGTGTGATGCAGCAATCACACTCCTAGGTAAATTTATAGCAGCTTTATGAATAATTGCCCAAATGTGGAAGCAACCAAGATGCCTTGCAATAGGTGAATAGCTAAACAGACTGTGGTCAATCTGTAAAATGGAATACTATCGAGTAATAAAGAGAAATAAACAATCAAGCCATGAAAATATAGAAATCTTAAATATATCTTGCTAAGTAAAACAACCTTGAGAAGACCTCACTGGATAATTACAACTGTATGATGTTCAGGAAAAGGAAAAGCTATGGAAATGGTACAAACAATTAGTAGTTCTCAGGGGTTTGAAGGGAGGTAGTAATGAGTAGGTGGAACTAGGAAATTTGTAGGAAACTGAAGCTATTCTGTATAACATTGTAATGACGGATACATGCGAATCATACTTACCTATCCCCATCAAAAGTAAGAGCAAAGAATGACCCCTAATGAATACTATGGACTTTCATTAATATTAATATATATGTATTGATTTAATTGTTACAAATGTACCATACTAGTGTAAGATGTTAAAAATAGAGGCAACTGCCAGGAGTGGTGGTGCATGCCTGTAATCCCAGCACTCGGGAGGCTGAGGCAGGCGGATCGCTGTGAGTTGGAGACCAGACTGGGCTACATAGTGAGTTCCAGATCAGTCTCAAGTACACAGTGAGACCCTGTCTCAAAAAAGCAAAAAATAAAATAAAATAAAAATAGAGGCAACTGCATGTGGGTGAGTGATATATGGGAACTCTATACAGTCTGTGCAATTTTTCTCTAAACATAAAATTCATCTAAAATAAGTTATTAAAACAGAGATCTTTGTCTCTTGGTAATAATTTATTATGAAATTAGAAAACCATAAGCCTACTCTCTTCTCAACTTCCTGCATAAAGTACATAATCCAAGCTTGGGCGATTGTAAAAATGTGTCATCATATATGTAAATATTGATGTGCTGAACAGTGAATTTTTAAGCACTAATAAAAAGTAGCGGGCAATTTATTCTGCATAAGGTAAAATTGTAAGGTTTGCTGTGTTTTGCCACAGTAGCTAAACAGGGCTTGCCGGTAACGGTCAGTGGCGTATTTATACAGCGCTTGTTTTTCTCTCTCATTCCTTTCACGTCATTTGTTCTAAAATAGATACTGCTATTTTGGGTGACTTATGATTTCTTGAGGGTATAAACCCTGTGTGCGATTGTGTTTTAAGCTATTGTCCTTTAGGACATAAAACACTCTCTTCAGGTGAACAGAAATTGGTTTTAAAATATCTCAAGCAATAAAATACACCAAACATGAGTGCTAGTATTCATATTATGATGAAATATTTTGTTATCCAAGAGTTTGAAAACAACTATCTATAATGCAGTTTTTATTTTTATATTCTACAACAGAATACATAATATTGCAATACCTGTTCTGCCAGTCTTTCCTATTAGACCTGGGATTCCTCTACTTCCAGGAAATCCAATTACTCCGCGATCACCTTTAAGACCTGGAGGACCTACATGATTAATGAAGAAGAAAGAAACAGAGTAACAATTCATTTTTCAACCAGATTTGAGAGTATGATAAATTAACATGAAATAAGTAAATCTCCAGGTGTAGGGTAACATCTTTCCTAAGATGTCTTGGGTGTTATTGAAAGATTGTATAAGCAATAAATATGAATATTAGTACATTGTAGATATTCAGTAATGTACTGTTAGTAGAAATAAAATCACGGGAGAAAAAACTAAAGCTTGGCGTTCATAACTTAAATAATCAATCAGGAATCTTCAAATAGCAGATTTTGTTATAGCTATAATGGTAATTTACTGAAGATTAAATTTTTAAAATTTACATTACTAAAAGCATAATGCAAAGAATGAAAACTGTCAAGGAGTATTTATTTAAAAATTGACACTGTAGTTCTTGAATAAATTATATTATCTCTCATGAATTTATTTCTGTCTATGTCACTGTGTTCCCAAACAATGCAAGTATAACCACACACAACACAGATTAATTTGTAGGTATATGATAGTGCATACACAAATCCACAAATATTTACATCAAAAGTAAAAATGGACATTATTTTATCTGTGGTATTTTATCTCTGTAAAAGTAAATGTTATATTTTTATCAGATGGACTTTTTAATCCCAGAGTTCAGTGATATTAAATAAACTAACAAAATAGTTTAAATGTCTTATTTTATCTTTAGCGTCATCAGTTCACACACATAGTTCTTAAAAATCCAATGTTGAGTTGAATCCTTTGGAGAGCTACTTTATGAAAAATTGATTATTCTTTTCTCAGTGTCAATCTTTTAGAATACTACCTTTAGCTTACAAGATCCAGAGGCAGAATTATGCATAATTAATGTATTTTTAAAAAATCTTTCCTTGGGCTGGGTTGGAGTTCTTTGGTACCGCACTTGTACATCAAGGAAAAGGCCCTGAGTTTGATCCTCAACACAGCCAATGAAAACCAGGCAAACCAAACCACTTTTATTGAGACTCACTCATGTTGACAATTAAAATTATGCTAACTGTCCTCTAAGAAATGTTCAGTCTAAGAAATGTATTATTTTAAATTAAAGTATTATTTAACTCAATCTAAAAGTTGGACTCTAACAGAAGCATATATCTAAAGAAGTGTTTTTTGGGGGGTTTTTTGTTGTTTGTTTTTGGTACCGGGGATCAAACTCAGGACCTTGCGCTTGTGAGGCAGGCGGCGGAACCAACTGACTAAATTCCCAGCCCTAAAGAAGTGTTAAAATGCTGAATTATGTTTATAAATATTAGTAACACCAGGATATTTTAACTCAATTACTCAGTATTTCTCACTTTTGTACATAATACACTGTACTACCAGTAAATATATCATGCATACTATAAACTTTTAGCATATATTGGCTGGCTTTTTTAGTATAGTCTAAAAGGTTCTAACATCTGTTCTCAGAATAAGCTGATCAATTAACACTCATACCTTCCTTCATTATACAGATTCTGTACTTGTTAGTGAGATCCATCAGGTATATCTACAAGTAAAAGCACTGACACTCATTTATTTCATTTAAAAAGCAATTAAAAGATACACCCACTCTTCACAGAGTACCACTGACAAATATCTTCCATTCCTACTATTTCCTCAATTAACTTATTAAGTATCTATGAAGCGCACATGTTGCACCAGAATCTACCCATTCCTAGAGTTCAAAACATCCTTATCCAACCACATCTTCCAGGGTAGAGACAGTGGGAGAGGCAGATAGGGATAAAAGGAACAATTTTAACAAAGCTGGTAATTTTGAAAGTTATGAAGTTGGAAAATGGGAATGAAATGGACGATATCTTAAGATCTATTTTTGAGGAAGAGATCAGAAAAGCCTTGCAGAGGATGGTTCATTGATTACAGTGACTCTCAGAGTGCAGCTGTTTTATCATGAGGTATGGTACCTTTTCAACACGTGAACAAATAAATCCACAAATGAAGCTCAGCTATCAAATATTACAGTTTTAATAGTCCTTGGAAATCATCTAATCCAAATGTCTCACTTTGTAGAGGCGGAAATGGAAGGCCAGAGATCAAGTCATTTACACAAGATTAGTCTGACAATTATGTACATATGCTAGCAGCTCTCTATTCAGGCTTTCTTCCTTGGTCTTGCCTACTGGTTAAGACTATGGACGCTGCGGTAATGTTCATTTGGGTTCAAACACTGACTCTGGCACTACTTATCAGCCACTGACTGAGTTCAAGCAAGTCATTTAACCTTCTTGAGAATCTGCAAAATGGATATATTATTTGTTGCTACATCATCAATTTAATGTGATGATTAGACAAAGTAATGAATATAAACACTTAGAAAAATGCTTAGCATGTAATTGCCACCGCATCAGCCTTCCTTCTGTTCTTCCTCTTCCTTCTTTTCCATCAAACAATCATTGTTTTCACCAGCCTTTTTAGGGAAGGTGGTTAAATTTAGTTTTTTTTAATAACATATAGAGTAACTAGTGATATTTTTTATTCATTGCCATGTTTGAGGGGGCACTATTTTTTTGAACCTCCAGAGGAAACCCACTTTCACTTATCAGGCATGGATCAATAGCCTGCAGGCAGTAAAGTACCTTACTTGTCATATATTTGAGGACTATGTCCTTGTTGAAGCTGAAGGAGAGAAATTCCTGGGTCTGACTGCAGAGAGGTGCAAGTGACCATAAATATCAATATAATATGGCTACTATTTTCCACTCTTTGCAGTCAAGATGGACTTTATTTTCTCCTCCAAGATAGGATTCCTATGGTGGAAAGTTCACTCTACATAAGAAAAAAACATAGCACTGGTTGATAACAATTTTGTAACCAGAAGGAGTCTTCATTTCTCTTTCTAGAGATCTTATGGTCTCTAGATTGGGTTTCCCTTGCTATTTATCCCATTCAGTGTAAGCAGTTCATTAGATGGCTTACAATAAAGGATTCCTTAGAAATTTAGCAGGAGCTCCTTCTCAGAAGCATTCTTTTACTGGGGGATAACCCTAAAACTGTCCTCTGAAAGGCTGTGAGAGGAACGACCCCAATATGATATTCTTGTCCTTTACAAAATTAGTAGTCACATAATAAGTTTTGTAAGGCTAAAAATGTTAGTAAAAGGGATAGATCATCCTCCTGGGTATTTTTTCAAGGAAATAATATTCTAAAATATATTTCCATTTTACTATTTTGAGAAAAAGTATATTTCACAATATATCTCCATCAGTGCCCGAGTTATATATAGATGTAGATTTTGATATAGATACAGATACAGTTACAGATATAGATATATATTTGACTATTTAAGATGTTAGTAAAAGGGATAGATCATCCTCCTGGGTATTTTTTCAAGGAAATAATATTCTAAAATATATTTCCATTTTACTATTTTGAGAAAAAGTATATTTCACAATATATCTCCATCAGTGCCCGAGTTATATATAGATGTAGATTTTGATATAGATACAGATACAGTTACAGATATAGATATATATTTGACTATTTAAGACCACTAGGATAACAACTTAAATTTCTGAGACGTATATATGTTGACTAGTCTGTGTTTGACAAACTATTCAATCAGAACGAATATAAAAGTGGAGACTTAATGAATTTGATCAAGATCAGCAAGTAGATTTATTCATCTGAGGCAAGATGATTGCTGTGAGTACAAAGCCTGTGTTGGCTATATTGTCAGTTCAAGGGCAACTTGAACTGCTTAGCAAGATAAGTCTCAAAATACCTCCCCAAACTGAATTATTATTGTAAATATTCCCCCACACAGTACTTACTGATTTAGTATCAAATTTGAGGCAATTTAGTTAATCTGACAAATACACAACCCAGGAATTAAATAGAGACGTTAGAAGAGATCTTCATAGTTTCAATACTTTATTGTCATGCACCAAACAAGTGGCAACTTCATATCCCCACCCAGAGTCAATTTATCGCCCAATGAATTATAACTTTTACATGAGGGAACTAGAATGTATCTACTTGTATAAATGAGCAGTACCTACAGCAACAACGCAAACTCTTGTTAAAAGAATGAAAGAGGTTTGTCATGGTGTTTATCGATGGTATTAACAAAAGCTTTTAAATCCCTCTATGTCATATATCCACAGTTCAGAAAGAACTGCCAAAAAAAAAAAATGCACCCAGGATGAAGATTTGTACAGTAAGTTTTAGAGCACATTGAATTCTTATGGCTGAATTGTAGCTTTAACAATTGGAATTTGTAATAGAGAATTTGACAGATCCTTGACAATATTTGCCCTGGCTGCTGGTGTAACGCTGGTTACTTCCCATACCTACATTAAAGCACCATTGTTAAGATCTGCTGAGCACTAGTGGAGTAGAAGGAGCTTTCAGAATAAAAGGTCTTCCCTGATAAAAGGCACACTGACAGAAATATATATACTGCTATATATACATATATATATATGTGTGTGACTTATATATATGTATAATGATTCTTCAAAAGATGTTTAAAATCTTTTTTTTGGGGGGGGTATCAGGGATTGAACTCGGGTCCTTGCGCTTGCAAGGCAGGTCACCAAACCACTGAGCTAAATCCCTAGCCCTAAAATCTTTTTAAATACTAATTTTATGTGTTGCTTTTTGATCATGATGCAAAGTTCAGGCAGCAACTAAATTCATGTTTTTAATTTTTAAAAACTCTTTTCCTGATATAACCTAGGCTAGTCAATACATCGATCAGAAAGAACATTTCATGTAAACAGAAGACAGAAAAATAAGAAGTACAAGTTATTGAGATAATTGTTTCACAGAACAAGCCATTCTAGGATAATTAGACCATGTAATATATTCCCTACTCTCAAACAGCATGTAGGACATTTGATTTTAGACAAGTGAATCATGACAGTCATGTCATTGTTGTTGTCTTTTTCACTTTTTAAACCAAAGAAAGTTAGTGCTCGTTTTTCTTTGCTGTGTGTTCTATGCTTGCCTTTGAAAAAAATTGCTTTCAAGGTTATAATATAGAAGAAAATGATTTAAAACAAATTTTTAAAGTAAAATACAGGGTGGCTGACAGCACAAAGAAAAACATCATGCATATTCTAGCCAATATTTACTTTCACATTTGGTAAGTTTAAGCAAATATAGTCTGGTCAAAGATTATATAAGATATACACTCCAATTTGCCTTGACTCCTGTTTAAGTATTTTTGTATCTTAAAAAACAGATCTTGCAAATGTTTTCAATATGAAGATAATTTTCCATGTTCTCCTTCACATGGGACCTACAGTTTGGTCAGCTATATCCAGTTTGCAGTCCATGATCAAAAGAACACTCCTAATATTCGTGAACAGCTCCATGGAGTGGGTCTGGTTAAAGCATTTAATATTTTTCAAAATGAAAAAGAATCAGTGCTTACCATTCAATATATTATATTATTAGTCTGCTAGAATACACTATCTTTCCAGCACATTCATGAATACAACACAATGCATACACACACACACACACACACACACACACGCACACACACACCACAGAAAACCAAAAAGTAGCTATTCTCTCCTGCACATATGCATAATTATATACTACCTCACCTTGTGTTTAAAATATGAATAAACCTAAACCATACCTATAGGGCCTGGGACGCCTGGTAAACCTGCTGGACCTCTGTCTCCTTTTTCACCTCGGGGTCCAGGGGGACCTTTAAGAAAATAACATTACTGATCATAATTGTAAAGAACGAGTAAAACACATTTGTCATTTGTCAAGACAGTTGTATAAAGAGGTTTAAAGTCTTTTGTTTGTTCATCAGTAACATAGAATGAATAAAACATCTTCCTGAACTGAGAATACTGTTTTTGAATATTATAATGCTGTTTGGATAAGATGACATTGTTCTAACCTAAGCCTTTAAAATATATATAATTTATCTGTGGCTAACACTTTTTTATATTCCAAGAATCTAGGGAAAAAGAAAAGACAAAACAATAACATGAAACAACCTTAGTATTCTGTACATAATAGGTAGTTTTCAATATATTGAGTTAGATATTGTGTAGAAGATGTATAAGTAAAGATTTATAAGACGTGTGATATTCACAAAGGAAACAAAAATTTATGCACAAAAAACAAGCAAAAGCCATATTGTTGGTACTGACATAAACTCATGTATCTGCCAGAGAATGGAGATCAGTACAAGTGGCAAAAGATGGAGATATTATTATCACCTATCGTCACTTCAGAATAATGGCACCATGTTTCTAGGAATTAAAGGTAATCCTGCCAGCATTCCCTCTCCCATCTGGATTGTAGAGATTTAAAATAGAGCATTTAATTTTCTTTTCAACCCCCAAAGAAAGAAACAAACTTGATACCATAGAATAATTGGATAGTGATGTGTTAAAGTAGCAGTGTTAACTGCTGCAGTTTGGCCAAATATGCAACTTCTAGGACCATACACAACTGTGTTTAGCATCTCTGATTGGAGACTGCTTGCTATAAACTTTAATCAAGTCAGGAGGTATAATATGCACACAATTCCAAGAGGGTTTCAAATATAAACTGTGATGAGTAAGTGTACTCTGCCCATTTATTTTTTGCTTCTTTCAATATATGTGCCCCTACTTCTCAATTTATCTGATCATTCCTATCTTTCAAGATGCAACTTGAGATTTAGAAGTCCAGGATATCCTCTCTTCCCAATTGTGCCTTTCTCTTTATATTCAAAGTTGGAAGGTAATTTAATCATATTTTTATTATAAGAGAAAATATATTTAGCTAATTTTTTTTGAGACATTGTCTCACTCTGTAGTTGAGGCTGACCTGGAACTCACTATGTAGCCTAAGCTGGTCTTAAAGTCACAGTGATCCTCCTATCTCAGCCTCCCGAGTGCTGGGATTACAGGCATGCGCCACCACGCCCAGCAAGAGATAATATATTTTTTGTAGCATAATAAAAGCCTAAAGAAAATTATGAGGAAAAGTATAGTTCATAATTCTATTATCTTAAAGGAATAACCATTAACTAACTCCCCCTCCCGTGTGTGTGTGTGTGTGTGTGTGTGTGTGTGTGTGTGTGTTTGGCTGTGCATGTTTTTCATGTTACCATCATGTAAACTGCACATCACTGGGGGGGTCACATAAGTAACCAGGGAATTCTAAGATATAGCTTAATTGTTGAGAGACAAATATTTAGGTGTTGCACAAGACATGTCTTTAATCAGTGAGAATCTCTGTGCATCGCTTAGTCTATGCAGCAAATCGTAGATCTTCACAGGCAAGGATATTTAGAATCCACCAGATGCCTTCTATTCATCACTATTCAGCAATAAGGGAGGAAAGAAGCTGTGAGGGTTTTGCAGCAAAATTTTTGTTAACAGAAAACCTACAGTTCGCAAGGGTGGTGTTTTAAAAAGAAGTACACAGAGGAAGACTTTAATTTAGTAATTAGGGATCCAAATCCAGATACAGGTATTCCAGGGTTAACCAGAATGTGTGAGATGAGAAACAAATTCCTCAGACCAGATCTAGGCTCTTTGCCTCTAAATTAGTTTTCACCATTTCTTTGGGAAGTAAAAAATAACTCTTTCTTTCCTAATTACTACTATTTTTTCTATCTTCATGCATGTAACTAAGGGACTTGTAAAACAATACTCATTAGCAGTATCAACCTCAACAAGTACATCTGTATTATTTTGTAAAATTCAGAGTAAAGATCCACCTATGTGTTTATTTATGAATGTACTGATATCTAGTATTTGAGTCTTAAAACAAGAAAAACAGGTAAAGCTTTTGCTTAAAAAGTCTAACTCGTCATGGTGGAGCTTAGACTTTTATTATTAGTCCGGCCTTGATGTAATTATATTTTTGTCTATTATGTTTGGTTTTTACACCTTGTAGTATCTCTTTCACTGTCTCCCACAAAATATAAGAATTTATATCTCTTTTAGATAGTCTGGGAGATTAAACTAAACAAGTTATATGTCAGTGACTTCACTTCTAGTGTCTTGTGTAAACCTTTCAAGAACATCGTCAACATAATGCTTTCCTTTGACTTTTCAAATCTTGTGTCCCCTCTGTACTGATGCAAATCTCAGGTCCTCATGACCCTGCAGCTGGATTAAAGCTAGAAGTTGTTATTTGCCTAAATGGATTGTGTCTATTGAACTCTCATATGTCTTCTGTTGAATTTATTTTTTAATGGAAGCTTTTATAATGCAAAGATAACTTATTCCACTATGTTATGAAAGAAAGAATATAGAACATTGTCAGAAGACTTAAAGTATATTGTAGTCACCTTCTTTGTTCTCAGTTATTTAGTTTCTGTCCCATTAACACATTAATAACTAAATCTCTGTATCAATAATTGGACATAACGTTACCTGTCTTCTCTTTTGATGACTTATGTCAAAATACATAATTCTCTCATGAAGCCACACGAATTCACATTCTCTAACATTTAAACAATTACTTTGATAAAATCTTCACATAGAAACCTACCATCTACCTTCTCTGCATGATTATTTTTTAAAAAGAAAAGTTAAGACTTCTATGTAGTTACAAGAAACATACTAATTTAGATTACTTAACAATTATTCTCAGCAACTGCTCAAAGAGCAAACCGAGGTATATCATATCATTTTAAACCCCAAGAATACAACTGAGTTAATGATATATCTAAATTTCTAGAGTGATGCTTTTCTGTGTCTTATTTCATTTTCAGTGTTGCTTCACATTTAGATGATTTTAAAATCTGCCAAATCTCCTAGGCTACTGCTGTGTAAGCCTGTCTGTCTATCTCTGCCTTCCTCTCCCTTTTCCACTTTTCAAGCTCACTGATTTAGATATGTCTGATCAGGAAGAAACCTTAAAATTGCTTAATCAAACATGGTTATAGAGATCAAAGGGAGAAAGTTGTCTGAAGTTTTAAATCCCATTGAATAAAATCAGAGTTAGGACACTTCTTTCCTGATAATTTATACTATAGTATTTCAAGCCTGTTTGACTTTCTTTTGTCTTCTATTCTTCTCTTACCTCTGAGGTGAATTTTCCTTTATATATAAAGTGGTTAGTTAAAGACACCATTTATTAAAATTTCCAATAATTCATCTTCACGGCGTTTTCATTCTTTACACATTTATAAGCTAAACAAAGGAATATCAGAGGGAAAACTATAAAATGAGGGCAGAAAAGCAGATGAGAGGGGTTTAGACTTTCTATTAAATCCAGAGGCCAGATATTGGAGAGTCCTAAGGATGAGAGAGAAAACATCTAATGATGTGTGTGAGGTGTTTTTAAAATAATACTTTTTTGCTCTATGTGAAATGGGTAGTGTGAATAGGTGTGCCCAGTTTGGAGGCCTTCAGAGTGGACCAGGCTGGACTGAGGTTACTTGGCTTAGAGGAGTAATAAAGACAGTGAGAAAGTTTGTTTGAAATATTGTACACAAGTAGGGTTAAGAGGGCTCTTGGATGGATTGCATGGGAGATGAGACGAGGAGAAAAATCAAAGATAGCTCGTAGGATTTTGAAGTGAGCAACTGACAGTGACGCAACTGACAAAAAGACAGGACCAGCCACTGACGTGGAACAGGGAGTCAAGGAGAGCTGATAAAGGGTCAAGTGTTGGCTTTTGGATTTAAAGAGTTTTGGATATTTATTTGAAATCAAAAGTGAAGTCTATTTGTTAATGAAAAGTTAATTAATTTAATTTTTTGCCTATTTAATTAAAAAATGTATTTATTAGTATGTTTTCTATATAAAGTATACAGTAATAAAGAAAATGCCCCTAAAGTATTTCAACTCAAGAAATGGGTATCTGCCTAAGTGCTCCCCACCTCCTTCATCCACTCTTTTTCAGATATAAATCTAAATTTGATTTCTTTATTCTTTCTTTTAAAAATATCCACTCATTAAATACGTGTGTGTCTATAAATACACATTGTTTATTTTGGCGATATTGTGAGCATTACTAGCAAAAAAATACAATATAGTCTTCTGGGACTTGTATTCTTTTGTCAACATTTGGATTATCAGACTTTTAAATTTTCCATAAAAATGAAATCTCATCAAGCTCTTCATTTCTATTCTCCTAATTACTTATGAGAAAATTTTAAACATCATAAAATAGAGCTTACCAAGCATGAAAGGTAGAATGAGATCTGACTTGAATTTACAGTTACAGAAGGAAGGATAGAATTATGTAAAAAAATATTCAAAGATATGAAAACTCATAGAATTCCCAATTAATAATAAACATAAATCAACAGATATGGGAAGCAGAACAAATTTCAAATGAATATAGTCTCAAACAAAATCATGTATAAATTATTATAGAAATTAAAGACAAAGACAATTATATCCAGATTAGTAGCAATCACTTTAAGAACATTAAGAAAAAAGCCAGCAGCCAGGGAAAGAATTTGTTCAAAATGCAACCAGCCTTCTGTATTCCCAGATTCTACATCCCACAGTTTCACCAAACACCCACTTAAAAAGAAAAAGTACCTGCCTGGCACATAAAAATACTTTTTGACATTATTCCCTGATTGATGCAATATGGAAACATTTACGTAGCATTTACATTATATTAGGATTTATAAATAATCTAGAAGTGGCTCAAAATATGCAGGAGAAGAGACTTGTGTAGCCATGGATTTTTCTATCTATGCAGGTAGTGGAACCAATATTCCTTTGATACTGAGGGAAAACAGAACCATAGAAAAGCATATCTGTTAAGGTAAAGTTGACAACAAAATAGAAAAGGTGAAGTCAAAAGTTTCCACTATTAATGTGCTTTCACTAAATGAACTTCCAAAATACAGACTTTATGCAAAAAAGAAAGTGATCCCAAAAAAATAGATAAGATTCACTTAGAAACTGAGACAATTGGTATACTCACAACCAAATCTAATAAATACCGTCTTTATAAAGAAAAATACTGTAATATTGATTTAAATTCTTTGTTTTGAAAAGTCTGAGAAATAGAAATGAATTATATTCAAACAGTAGAAAAATCAAGAAAAACATTTCAGGTTCCTTTTGTATTTCACAATGGCATGTTATGAGGTTGATCAACTTTAGACTTTATTAGAGTACATTTAACAGGAAACTTATAAGAGAATGGTAATATACTATGAAGTTTTCAAAGTGTGGTAGCACTGATAGAAAAATTTAATAAAAGAAAATTCTCAATCAATCAAAATATACAAGAAAACAAAAGAAATGTAAAACAAACCAAAAAAACAACACAAAAATAAAATAGAAACAAATACAGTGAAAATAAATTGTTACTTCAAATAGAATATGTTTCAAAAAATGAACATGAATATGGAAAATATCTACAGTATAAAGATAATTAAAAGATAGTGTGAACATATATTTGATTTGTGCTTATTAAAAATCAGTTTGAAGGTAGGGCAGGGGAATGGGGAAAAAAATAAGAACCAAGATGGGTTATGTAAAGGTGCAAATTTCAAATGACGAATGTTATTATATTGTATGCCTTAAATGTACCAATAAAATTAATTTTAAAAATCAATGAGTCAATTCACCTAGTACTAGCAAGAACTGAAAAAGAAATGTACAAATCATTGTTATTTTACAGAGGGTTCAAAAGACCTAATTTATAGTACAATCAGGTAAGAAAAGATAAACTAGAGTCATTTATAGCTAAATGGATGCACCTTGAGACTACACTCCTAAGTGAAATAAATCCCATACATGTGTAAATACTGAATCGTTGAACTGAGAACAAAGTGTCAATGAGAACTAAACTGTAGAGTAGATATTGTGAAAAAGGAAGAGCATGTTCAAAGGGAAAGGGGCACTAAGGAGCCGCAGGAGAAAGGAAAGTAGAGAAGGAAAAAATAAGGAAATGATGAAAATAAAGTGTTCATAAATAGGAAGGGATGGAGGAGTGAAAGAGAAGGAAGGGGTTTGGGAAAAATAAGAACCAAGATACATCATGCACAGGTACAAATTCCCCAAGATTAATATGACCATAATGTGCATCTAAATCACACCAATAAACTCAATGAAAAAAGAAAGAATATGGAAATTTTGAAAAACAGAATTAGCATTTTTAGTTTGTGGACACACAAAGAACTTTGTACTTCTATAAAACTTGTATTGGTCTTTAGTGCACTTGGGTATCTTCAGCAATAAGATACTCATTGGCTCTCAAGGTATTTATTTATCCCTTTCTCCTCAGAGGGTAGCCCCAGGTTATCCTTACCATGTTCGGTCTGACCCTAAGATTCTTTATATGCATTTATATAAATAAAAACTGAGAAGACTATTGATTTTAAATCACAGAACTTCAAATTCCAAACTTCTGCATATATCAGTTTAACACATAATTTTCTCTGGGAAATTAACAAAGCATTTACCTTGAGTCAAGGTGATATTTCTCAAAGTCAGAGAATGTTCCCAATCTTTGAGTCTGAGATCGTTGGTGATATTATTTAGTGCTTTCACTTCTCTCTTTATTTCCTGTTCCAAATGCTCTTGTTCCTCTTTCAGAGACTTAATTTCTGTTGATGTGTTGTATACACTCTCCTTTAATTTACTAATATCCTGTGAAGTATAGTGCACATTCACAATTTGTGTTACAATGTAATTATAAAATATACAAGTTCGAGAAGTCTTGGAAGTTCAAGTTTCTATAAAACATACACTATTATGGGGACACTATGGAAGAGTAGTACGGAAACTAGAAAGCTGTTTTGAAATGGTTGTAGAACACTTCCCTTTTTGACTAAATATCCAAAATTTTGCAGCCCCGACTGGCCACTTCCCAATCAATTGAATAAATGTGTGAGGTAGGTTTCTATTCCCAAATATTTGGATGTCAAAAGGCTAAAAATAAACACTGAAACTTGTCAGATGATTTTTTTATCTGCAGTGAGATTTCTTTAGAGTATACATAAGGAGGCAATATTTCACTTCGCTTAATTTAAATTTAAATGTTAAATTGTTTTATAGCAATAACCAAAGTTTAATGTTGTAATTCTCAGTGACAGTGAATGTTAAGGATAGATTTCCATATTGAAGAAAACCTCAAAGTAGTACCCAGATAGTATTTTACTTTCAACTTCTATCATCTTTGTATTTAAGGCTTTATTATTATTTATGTTATCATTTGCATGCATACTTTGTGTATATTTGTATGTGTCCATACCTATGCACACAGAGTGTATGTGAACAAGAGATAAAAGCACACCACGTTCTGGAATGTGCTTTTTATTTGATAATGTATCAAGGATATTTACCTGTTAAATATTTAAAGACAGATTTATTTTTAATAATTTAGTGGAATTATGTTGTATATTTTAAAAAATTTATTTAAGATTTTAAAATGTTTTGATAATGATGATGATGATATTGATTTGGCCATTCATTTAACTTACTTATTCTGTCACTGAAAATTTGCCTTCCAGAAGTTTTCCAAATGGTTGCAATACATCACTTAACATGGGTTCAAAGATATTCTATCATTTTTGCTGGTCGTGGCATTCTACCAAATCAGGTATGTTTTTTTCTTCAACGCTTTCCATCTCCTCTTGCTTTTGATCTCATTTATACATAAAGTTATAGCTCTTTTCAAGTTAATCAAAGTCTACCATAACTAACATTTTATCTTTCTCTGTTTCTCACATCTCTCAGGACAATTTCTTCTTGAAATTTCAATCATATTTGAAATAATTACATTGTTATTAGCAATGTGGGAAATACTGCTGATCAGATTTTAGGAAAAGTAACACCAAAACTGAGTGAAATATTAAGGTCCGGGTTGAGATAAGTTTACCAACAAAATCATCCCCAAGTTTAAGGAGTAATGCTGTATCTTGGAACAACTTAAGGAAGATGTAAGAATTCCAATGTTTTTAAATAATTGAATCTCAAAAAATTATAAAAATGAAGAATTTACTTGAAGAATTAACTTGCTTAGTCAATTTTAGGTCAATAATTTGACTGGTTTTCATTTGCTGTGATAACTTTAGAGATGTAGTTTTACTCATCCATTTTTAAAAATCACTAATTGTAATGGTGTTTTTATAAAGAAAACCATCCTTTTAAGAGTGGATCTATTCAAATTAGATTTACTCCAGCGATGCTGGGTTTGCTTAATGATGGAAATATAGGCTTCACATTGTACTCTTAGGTCTTCAATATCTTATCGTATGGAGATCATTTTTCACACGAGGAGTGAAGCATTGATTAAATATTTATTTCTCATGGAAAAACACATAGAATTTTTTAACAAATGATAATTAAAATATATGATTTATTTTTTTAATTTTATTCTCATAAGTGCAAAGTAATCCATATCTTAATCATAGTTGGTACAGAATACTCTAGAAGTCATAGTTACAGCTCGTGGATCAACTTCAACCCACAGACAATTTTTATAAATAAATGCTTGCTGCACTGAAGCTTTTTGCATTTCTGTACATATTGTCCGTGCTTGCTGTTTTCATGGTAAATGTGAATGTGACAGAGATGTATGGTCCCCAAAGCCTAAAGTGTTTTCATCTAGTCCATTACAAAGAAACTTTGCTGAAACTACTCTAGAGTGAGTCTTGCTCTGTTGGCAGCGATGTAAAGGAATTATCTGCTCTTCTATGTCTTAATTGTGCAGTGCTTCTCCTTTGCTGTGTTTCTCACTGACAGTGATCATCACAGCTTTCATAGAAAGAAAAATTTTAATATGTACTTTATAAATTACTATCCTATTATAATCTCAGCATGAGACTACATATACATTACTCAAAATTTAATTCTTTAGCTTTAGTTATTGGTATACCTAAGGACTAGTGTGACTCTTCAGAATAACAAAATAAACCAAAATTTAATTTTGTGTTTAGTTTTATTTTTTGTTTTTTGAGACAGGGTCTCACTGTGTAGCTGAGACTGCTCTGGAACCCACTATGTAGCCCAGGCTGGTCTCGAACTCACAGTGATCCTCCTGCCTCAGCCTATCCAGTGCTGGGATTACAGGCATGCGCCACCACACCTGGTTTAATTTTGTTTTAATGTAAATAAGATTTCCATTCCTTGGTGAGGAAGAAATGTTAATTCTATTGTGCCATTCACAAATACAGGTGACTACTTGTACAGATTGGCTTTGAGAGTCTAACAAGGCACTATAATGGTACCTATAAAGTTAAAATACCTTAAAGGACTCTATATCCAAAGGAAAATAATTGCCCCTTTGACTGAGAGTCTGGAAAAGGCACTAAGTCAATGCAGTTGAAACCTTGTAGTCAGATTACCAGAAGAGTCAGGGTAAACAGCATGGTGTTGAAATAGGGTTTGCATATTTTGCTTTCCTGGACTGCCTGAGGAGACAGGATCTGGATGGACTTAATTGCACCAAGTGAACTTGTAGTACATAAGCTCTTACCTTTTGTTGCTTCAGTGAATTCTCTTGGACTTTGCTATTCAATGTGTCTATATTGAGCTGCAAATCAAGTAATGTGGTGTTCAGACTTATTAAGGATTTGGAGATTTCATCTACTGCATTGCCATGTTCTTGGACCAAGGAAGCCAAGGTACTTAGCTGCAGAAGAGCATCGTTAAATCTTTGATCAGTTGTTGCACTGAAATTTTGGAAGTATTCTGAATCTATGAAGTTGGCTTCTAAATCTGAAATGTGTTGGATTCTCTTCTCAATATTGTCAATGTGTTCCAAAATAATTTCTCGAAATCTCATTTCATCTTCGCTGCCATTTCGTTTTCCCAGACTTTGAGACATATCACTTGCATGAATTGAACCAACTGTGCAATTCTTCATTTCCCACTTCAGAAGACGAGCTGCGTGTTTAAGTAAATATAAACCAAATCATGACCTATATCCTTGAATGCATACAGAATTCCATTCCACATCATTCCATTCCTCTTATTTTATTTCCTGACAGTACAACAGATGGAATGTTAGCATAAATTGAGTATTTATTTTAAACATACAGTGGCTGAATCACACTCTAGATCATCAAGTCTCCCTTCCCCACTTTACACTGGATTTTATTACATCATTGTGTCTTTCCTTCTGAACTGTTGCCTACATAAATCTTCTGGCCATGAAAGTTAGTTTTTTTGAATATCAAAACAAGTTTTCTGTTTCCATCATCATAATGGAAATATATTCAATGGAAATACTATGCTACTACATCAATACTATGATAGTGGAAATACTATCATAGTAGTCAAGAGAAAAGCTTTATTTCATATAGAATCTGCAAGTTAGTTTTTAATGGAATATGTCATAAATATTTTATATTATCTAATATTATTATGCAAAAATAATTTAATAACCACATTATGTTCTGTATATTGATTTACCAGATTTATCTAACAAAATTTCCGTATCTAGTTTGCTTCTGTTTTCCTCATATATTTAATGTTTTGATTAGCAATCATAAATTATGTTCTGAAGAACAATTCTATCAATTGGCATTTGAGGAACATACTGAGCTGTTGATATATATTTCCAAATGAGCATATATCTTCTGAACAAGCTAATTATCCTTCCAAAATGAACTAGAGCAATGTTCTGTATAGTTTCCCAAAAGAAAAGAAATACTAACCTTGCAGAAAAATAATACAAAATATTCAACAATGAAGAAATGGTTAAACACTATTTTATTACTGTAGTGGTTAAGATTTGGTTCTTTTTCTAAATCTCCCTATGCACATACTTATCATCTCTCTATATATATATTTATATATAGATATCAGCATTTTAGTCACAATTATGTAACAATAAAAAGTAACTTTACATGGTTTTAAAATATGCCTATATATATAGCCACACTTTAGTCTGTTAGTTTTCTATAGGGTTTCATTACAATTTTGTAGATGTTTGAGGATTACATGAGATAATGCACACACACACACACACAAACACACACACACAATTTCATACCTGACTCAGGATGCCTATGATATAAATGTGAGCAGTGTGCTTACTATTATAGGACTTGCCTGATTCTAGAATCCAGCTCCACTCCTCACTGGGTTACTCTGGGTAACTTACTTAACCTTTCCTTACTTACACTTCCTCAGAGAGGTAAAAGCAATATTACCTCTACAGTGATTTGAGCCCAAGTGAAACCAAGTATGTAAATCCCCTCCCAGACAAATTGGCACATGCAAAAACTGTTTAACTACAAAGTGCATATTCATGAAAGATTGTGCCCATAGATTCATTCCCTTTAGTTAAAGGTGTCTGATGATCATAACTACTGTAGCCATAATTATATCAAGAATAAATATTACAATACAATCGCAAAACTATTTTCTTTAGCAAAATATTCAAGTCTTCATCTTATAGGTAGTTAAACAATGCCAGAGTGCATATTTTCCAAAGCTCATTTCTTAATTGTTATTGGACAGATTGCATTTTGTGACTTTGCTATTTCATACAAAAAAAGGAGAGAATATTTTAGACCCTATCCAAAGACCTAGGGAAAAGGTTATATCTAATTCTACAGGTCATGCTTACTTCTTCATGTGGGTAATATCTTTTGCCACCCAAAATTTGTATTGTTTTGAGTGAAGTATTTTTAGTATCTCAGTAGCAATCTATATACATCAATTTTAGATTGTATCCCATTGTTTGGGGACAGCATTACTTTGTAGTGCTCTAACAGTGATTCAACAACTTTATTAGGAACAGGTAGTATATGGAGTAAATAATTTAATTAAGAAAACATCTTTCAGTATACGAGGTGTGTTAAATTTATATAGTTTCTCCATATAATATTTTATTTCATCTCTCAATTTGTATTTCTCAGAGTAACTTCGACCATTTGAGTGATATATTCTGTCCACATTTACAGGTTTTTTTTCAGCTTTAATTGAGTTTATTGGTACAATCTAGGTAGACAGTACAGTTACATTCATTACTGGGATCTTGTACCTCTACATGACAGGTCTTGGTTCTCATTTTTTCCCCTTGTCCCTGCCCTCCCTTCACCCCCTCCCTGCCTCCCCATCTACAACCACTTTATGAAAAGATGGAAACACATTTACAGTTTTTAATATTGAGTGGAGATACATATTTTATTTGTGTTCCTTTTGGAAAAATATTCTGATCTGCAATTTACCTAATGGATTGTCAATTGTTTATTTTGAATGTATGATGGACACTGTGAGTTGTTTTCTAAATTCTAGTGAATTTGGGGCCTGTGTGAATTTATAAAATTGGAATATTTTTGTCTTCTCATCAATCTTAGCAGGTATCTCTTGTAGTTTTAGGAAACGCACTGCATTATATCAGTTATTATTAGCTCTAGAACTGACGTGCAGAGTCGGTGATATTTTCAAATAGCCTAGTGATTTTTGAGACAGTTACAACTCTGAATTCTTGAAAGACTTCTGTCTGCATTCTGTATGGACCTATCAAAGCTTTAGTCACTATTGGCTGTGTTTTGGATAAACGAGATGAAGTGTATCTACATTCTAACTAGTATATAGCTAGTAATCCCAACTAGTGATGCATCTGTCAGTTGTGCACATAATTGAAACATATTACAGATAACATACACAGACAGATAACATATTGTACTGCAGGTAACATGTACAAACAACACACAGATAACCTCGGTTCATCTGGAAGTTGACTAACTCAGCCACATCAGCACTACTTATTTAGTTACTTGTGGGTTTTGTTGCTGTGGATGAATTTTTGTTTTTATGTTTGAATTTTTGTTTTTCTTCATTTTTAATAGCTAAAATGAATGCATTTCCTCACATGGAAATATATTTTCTTAGATAAAATCGTGACAATGCCATTTGTTGGGTTGTAGTTGTTTTTAAATTGGCGGGCCGTATTTTGTTATAAAAATCCAATTACACTGGAAGACAATACACCATGGAGCTTAGGATCCAGAATGTATAGATGGGAACTGCAGCTCTATTAGGGAGGAGCCTCAATTTCCCTGTGCCCATAATGAGGATGATTATAGAGTGTGCTCACAGGGCAACTATATGGGTATATCAAGATAATTTGTTTCTAGCTCAGTGCCTGGACACAGAAAATGTTTTAAAATAATAGCCATTCTTACACTGTCATTTTTATTTTTTTTTATGAGAGTAATTTTGGCTCTATCATTGAATACTTCCTTAGATTGTCCCTTACTAGGAAGTTGCGCCTTGTATTTAGGAGTACTTTCTTGTTGGGCTAATTAGTGTGCATTTAGAAATGCATTTTATTCAAAGCCTATTCCTTGACGGAACATGTGGCAGTCACTGTAACAGCCATAGAAGAGAGTAGTGAGGTGTATAAAGTTAAGTACCAATTAAAATCTATCAAACACATAAAAATGTTACATAGGAAAATAAGATTCACAATATCATTGAGGCATGTGAAAGCCACCGACTCTTGTATAGATCCTCAAATTCATCCTCAGACTCCCCAAGGAATACAGATCTGGAGAAAATCGTATTGTCTGTAACGCATTCTATGTTTTTCCTTGAAAGAATGCTTTAATCTTATTTTTAGAGATGTTTTAAATAATAGCGATGAATCATGTATCCTTGTAAACTTTATAAATATGACGTGAGGTGTAGGTCATTATTTTACAATGGGAATTTTTTTTCTTCTGTCAATAACAGGCATAGATCTTTTATACTATAGGCTTATTTTTGTGGTGCATGCAGTGTTAATGTATGTTATCATTTTTTTTCACATTGAACAAGAATAATTATCACAAAATTTGTGGCCCATCCTTGGAATTATATAGGATGTTAAAGGATACTGAATTTTTAAAATAGTCTAAGTTGTTCCATGTGACTTTCATATATCTATGTATTTGTATTACTCTATTTTTCTGATTTTAAAAGTGTATTTGTTTCCATGTAACACTGCAGAAACTATTTTTAATTTAATACATTTGAGGAACACATGGGAAAACTGCTTTTTGAATCTACTATATAAGGCAAACTGAATGCGGCTTGAATTCTAGAATACGGTACCTGCCACAATCCCAACGACAGGCATCAGAACGACAAACACAAGAAGATAGAGGGCAATGAGCGCAGCTTTGAAGGACTTCAGTTTTTCTTTGAGGCCATTTTTAGGATCTAAAGAAAAAGAAAACCAACTTATTGTTAGAAAACTTGCTCTTCTTACTTGATTAAAATTTTTGTAGGGGCCGGGGATTGAGCTCAGCAGTTCGGTGGCCTGCCTCGCAAGCACAAGGACCTGAGTTCGATCCCCGGTACCACACACACACACACACACACACACACACACACAAACAAATTGTAATTGCCACTTATGTTGCTACAATCAAGCCTATTGGAATAAAAAAGAAATAAAGTAGATCTTTATTTACAAAGTAGTAAGCAAAAGGATAGTCATAGGAAAGCCGGCATGGATCTCACTGTGCACAGCTGATGGATGTATCGATTCACTAAAATTTCACAAGTTCTGATTATTTCATTTTATGGGATTAGCTGATGAATTTTAATATCGATATTGATATTGATATATACAATTATACATTATAAACTATATATTTCATGTAGCAATATATTCTACATAAAATAAAATTCCCCAAGTAATTGTAAATTTTTTCATATTTTAACCATTTAAGAGAAACATTTATTTTAGTGACAAGCAAAATTAATTTTCTTTATGTTTCATTTTAATAGCTTTACCTTCTGATACTTCTTGTAATTTGAATACAATGTAGAAATATCTTTAAAACAGGGTGCTGCAAATTTAGCTCAGTGGTTCTGCCCCCTGCCTTATAAGCATAAGTCCTGAGTTCAAACCCCAGTATCAAAAAAAATTACTTTACAATTAAATAAATAAAATAATTTGTATTTATTAAACTTTGGTATCAATAACTAAAGCCCATCCTTGGGATATTTCAGGGCACATTAAATTAACAATAATCTTACTTTTATGCTGAATTTAGTCTTATATGGAAAAATGATTCTAAATTGGGATATTAATCGTGGGAAAAATACACTGAGGTAGAGGAGAAACATCAGCAAAAGACTTTTCTCTGTTTATGTGAATACAATATCCATTTAAATTTTCCCTCTTGTCATTTATCTTATTTTTCAACAAAAGAATAACTTTTGTTTTCTGCTGGCAAACTGCTAAACTAAAAGCAAAATACAGATATTGTTCAACATTACAGGAGGGATTGTCCGAAAACAATTTCAAAAGCTAAGTAAAGAGGAAAAGGGGAAAAGAAAAACAATCCATTAGTGCAAGCAAGATGGGACATTCCACCCTTCAAGCTGACTAACCGTGAAAACTTCTAATTTGTTACAACAAGTTCTTCATATCCTACCTATTACACATCTCGCAAAATTCTGAGTGGCCAAGTCCCCTGTCCTTTCTTATCTCTGATTCATCACCTTTGTATACAGCTTTTGCTTTGTCCTTTGCATGTGCATCACATTGGAGTCATATTTTCTCATCCATTGTTTGTACAACACGCAAGACCAACCTGCCCTGGGGTTGATTTCTCTATGCCAGGTTTGCCTTTGTGGGAACTCACTGATGATCCTTTAAAGGCTTTACATGTGTTGCTTCCTCTGACAGAGTGATCTCTCCAATCCCCCTTGCCACCCATGCCCTTGGATATAGGTATTCATCCTTCAAGCCTTGGCAGAACTGTAAGGAATCCTGCCAAGCCCATCCAGATAAAGCTGAACATTGTTTTGAGCCCCTGTTGTACCTATAGAAAATTATCAGTCACCTGTTGTGGGTAGAATACGTGCCGCCCAAAGGTATGTTTAAATTGTAACCCCAATTACCTATGAAAATGATCTTAATTGGAAATAGGAGCCTTACAGATGTACTCTAATTAAAATGATGGCATATTGGATTAGGATCAACCCTAATCTAATGACTGGGGTCTTCTCGAAAAGAGAAAAGTCTCAAAGTAACAGAGAGATGATGGATGAAGAAAGGAGCACAGATTGGAGTAATACAACCACAAGCTAAGGTGCACCACGAAGTTCCAGGAGCTACTAGAATAAAGAAATTATGAAAAACTATTGAAAGGACTGGTGGTCCTTCATACACTTAGATTTCAGATTGCTAGATCTCAGAATTATGAGAGAAAAGAATTCATTCATTTGCTGACTGAAGCGCTGGAGATTGCACTGAGCCTTTGCACTGAGCTACCTCCCAAAGCCCTTTGCTTTTTTTTTTCTTTTTCTTTTTCTTTTTTTTTTTTTGAGCCAAGGTTTGTTCAGTTGTTAAACTGTTCCCGTTGATGAATTCTGTAGTTCTAATCCATGTAATTTGTGACACTTTTTTACAGCAGCCCTAGAAAACTAAACAAGCACCCACCACCCCTCAGCACCCCGTTTCCCTCCTACTTACAGGGAGGAAGCAATGTTGTCATTGAACGAGCATCAAATTTCACAGAATCTGAGTAGCTATCAGGGTCTTCCTGGTGATCAAGAAAGATATCCCGCCTCTCCATACTGCTATCAAATACAGAGAAAAATATATTATGTCCACATGAAAGGGCTAGGGCTTTTCTGCAGAATGCTTTAAACTGAATTGTGGAATCAAACTTAAATTCTAGCAAGGAAAAACATGCAAGTAATTGGTTAAATTTTTTGTTATTTATAGTGATATATAAAATTTACTCAAAAGTTTTAATAACATCAAAAGATTTACCAGGAACCTACTCAAGTAACTTCCTATGCAAAAAGGTGTATCTGTGTTTGTAGATGTTTGTTTTTGAAATGTAAGGAAAAGTAGTTTTTCTAACTAAAACTATTCATATTTTTCAAATGACAGAAAATTACCATACAACAGAAAAGAAAATGATAATTTCTCTTAAAGGAAAAAATAGTTGTGCACATTTGGAACAAATATTTCCTGTGGTCTTTTATTAGAAGTTAGAGATTGAATTCATTAAAAACAGCTTCATAAGACACTTCTTCCTTGCCAAGAAATCTGCTCATAAATTTAGAAAAATAAACTCTAAACACTAGGTTGAGAAACTTAGGCTAAAAGAAACTCCTTACTTTCTTTATCTCTTTTCTTTCTTTCTTTCTTCCTTTCTCTCTCTCTCTTTGTTCCTTCTTTTTTTTTCTTTCTTTCTCTTTATAAGTATAATCAGTATTCTATGACACTATCTATACCTTTATCTCTTTTAACATGCACCAGAATCAATTTTTTTAATTATCATTTTTGAGGTTTTTTTTTTTTGTTTTTTTTGAGACAGGGTCTCACTATGTAGTTGAAACTGACCTGGAACTCACTATGTAGTTCAGGATGGTCTCGAACTCACAGCGATCCTCCTGCCTCATCCTTCTGAGTGCTGAGATTGCTGGTGTGCACCACACCGGCTAAGAAATGATTTAAATGTCTCATAAAAAGTCATTGATGGGCCTCATCCCAGGGTTTTTGACATTTGTGGGAGAGGAGGAGTGGTCAAGAAATTGTAATTCTACATCAGTGAGCACTACGTTACAGTTAGACAGAAATAAGAAGTTGTGATGTGCTGTTGCACAATAGGGTAATTATAGATAACAACAATGTGCTATACATTAAAAAAGCTAGAATAAAAGATCTTGAAGTTTTCATCATAAAGAAGTAATAAATGAGAAGATGGATATATTGAACTTTATTTTTTTAAAAAATTAGTTTATTAGTACAGGTATGTAGTACGTAATGTTTACATTCCTGTAGGAAGTTGGTAAATGTTCATAACACATCTCAATTTCTTTTCTAAACTTGGTTTTAATGTCATATAATGTATACATGTATCAAAATACCACATGCATGTATATAACACATCTTAATTCCTTTGTTCATCTCCTTCTCTTCTATAGCTCCCTTTCACCTACCACTTAATCTCATTCCTTTTCTTAATTTGGTTTTAATGTCATATAATATATACATGTATTGAAATATCACATTATATCCCATTAATGTGTACTTTTTATGTTCTTATGTACCAACTAAAATAAATTTTAGTCACAGCTGAGAATGTAGCTCAGTGGATTGTCTGCCTACCATACAAGAATCCCTGTATTAAATCCTCAGCACTTCCCCCAAAATACATACATCTATAAATTTAACTTAAAAATTAAAAATAAATAAATTCAGTTAAGAAAACAAATTTTTCTCTTTTCTTTTTGTTTTTGTTTGTGGTGTTGGCATCTAATGCAGATCTTGAATATGCTCTGTAAATTCTCACAATCTCCAGCCTCTAAAATTCTACTTGGAAAAAATAAATAAATAAAGCTGACTCCATATAAAACAAAAAGAAAAAAAGAATTCTCAGATCTAAGAAGTTCTCGAGAGATGCTCTATTGTTGGCTTTATGATCATATTTTAAGAGCACTTCCTGTGAAAGTGTATGGTTTTCTGTGGCTGGGCACTGTTCATTTTATTTGATTGATAACTTACCATAAAGTCAGCACTTTCTGATCATGTATTTCCTCGAATGCTGAGCAGTGGATTTAGCCCCACACAGTTTTAAAAATGGAGCACACAGGTAAATCCAGGACACTAAATGAAAATCCAAGCAGAACATGAAGGGCAATTGTTCATATGAAAAGATTCATTCTGCTTTAGGGAGAGACACTGACAAACTAAGGCTGTGACTCAATTTCTATCCACATATTTTTTAAACAACTGCTAAGGAGATAGTTTATTTGGCTGTGTCTATGACAATCTTTGAAAATATAATTATCTGAAAATTGATTTCTTCCATCCCTGTGTTATCTGCCCACTGACTGTGTTCTTTAAATGATTTGACTTCTTAGGTGAAGTGGATAGAGTAGAGTAGGTGTAGGACCTAAAGTCTTCTCTTTTCTGAGACAAAGGCAAAGTAAAACTAATAAACAAGTCCGATGTGATAACATGTGCCTATAGGCTCAGCTGTTTGTGAGGCTAAGAGGGGAATCACTTGAGCTCCCAAGTTCAACATCAATCTTAGCAACATAGTGAGACTTCAACTCAAAAAATAAAAATAATTAATGACCTGGAAAATTTGCAAGAAATCAAATTGGGCTGTTCAGATTCAGACTCTACTTCCCCTTATGACTCTTTAATTTACTCTTACAAGATTTGGATAACAGTTTTACAATGCAAAATAAATGAGCGAGCAAGCACAAAATTTTTGAGGCAACAATATAGTTTAGCTAAATTCATGTAATCTTTGCTGATGTCCATGAAATAAGATGGATGTTTTAAAAGAAGGGGGGAACTGAAGAGATGTGCTGCACCTGATAGAGAAATTTCTGGTGAGTAGGTTTCACCTAAGACTCAAATTCTGTGGCTTTTTTCTATTTTACATTCTTATTCTTTTCATAGCTTCCTTGGACCTAAATTATGTTATTGAGAAGCTGCCTGTAGCCTCTTCTTCATTTGTACTTGTTTGAATTTTGTAAAGTCCCAGTTGGCCTCTGGCTTTGACCATAGCCCATTGCAATTCTCAAGGAAACACTACTAGTCTTTTGGTTAGAATACTTTTTTTTTTTTAATCAGGTCTGTCTTAGTTACTTAAGATACTTATCAATTCCCATTACCACCTTCTGAGTGTAAATGACCTTTGAAGTCATTGTATTACTGTTCCTGCTGCAAAAATTTCTGCAAAATTACTCGCTTTGTACTCCCAAGCTCACAAGACCTCTTGAGAACCATGGTCCTTTCTGCCTCCTGAATGTGGGTGGGGAGACAAGACCTGCATCATTCTGTCAGCAACACTTGCCTTTAGAGGTCTGACTATTTTCATGGGCTGGGGATTTAGTTCAGTGGTTCCAGCGCCTACCTCACAAGCTCAAGGACCTGAGTTCATTTCCTGGTACCCCCCACAATTCATTTCCGTGAAAAAAAATCTTCATGAATTTCAGCAACAACAGAGATTAATCAAATTTGAGGGCAGCATATTTATCAAACAACTCCCTGCAATTTCATTTATATCTGTCTTTACCCCTACATATCTATCCATTCATCTAAAGAATCTATATGAAGGGCTGGGGATTTAGCTCAGTGGTTCCGCTGCCTGCCTTGCAAGCACAACGACCCAAGTTCGATCCCTGGAACCAAAAAAAAAAAGATTGAAGAATCTATATGAATGCTTCTTAAATAACAAAACACATGCTTTGAAGAAATATTTCGCAGAATCATAATACAGTCATCTAATCTGGTCCTTAAAGAAGTAGCATAAATGTTATTTTTAGCCACACACTTGCTGAGTCATTTATCAAGTCATCATAACAAATACCATGCAAATGAACAGGAAGTTGAGATCAATGTGCATGGAATATTCTCGGCCACCCAAAGTTCTTAAGCACTAATAGGGAAAACAGAAAATTTTGTAAATAACCTGATATGGAATTGTATATAGCAGGCACAAACATCATACAAAAGGGAGAGATTAACTTTTGGTAGAAGCGTAGGAAAGGTAATATTTTATCAGTGTTTGGAAAAATGAGGACAAATGTTTGAAAAACAAGATTATTACAGAATAGAGAATATGTTACAAAGCATAAAGCCATGAACAACATGGGTGGATCAAATGGATCATCACGGCAGAAACAAGAAATGAAGGCACAGGGCCCAGCCATGTACACTGGAAGATAGAAATAGGAGTTGACAAGACACAAACTTGAGAACAAGCAGTGTATGAGTAGAGGGAGATTATCTGGCATTAAAGACATGCGAGAACTGATAGGTAACTATGGGAGAAGAGCAAGAAATGGTAGAGGTCATGGAGAAGAAAAGGAATTTGAAAGCATGAAGTGCTTCTGTAACATGCCATGTGGAGTTGAGCTGATTTACTTGTATGGTAGAGGCAGAAACAAACCCTTAGGAGATCAATAAATAGTACATTTCTAACAAATGACCAGCCTTGAATGTATGTATGTATGCCTGAAATCTGTTCAAGTTTATGGATCCTGTTGAGAGATAATGTACTGATAATTGCTCTGAGACAGACAGGGAGCAGAGTTCTGTTTCTTTCCTGAGTGTTTCTCCTCATCTTCCCACCATTCTACTAACAGAGCAAGCCAGGGTCCAGTTCTTGTCCTCTTTTCTGTCTTTATGGACTCTCAGAGTTCTCACTAGCTTTGCTACTTTAAACAGTCTGTAGGGCTGTTGGCTCTCACAATTTTATCTCTTGTGTGGACCTCTCTTCTTAATTTCAGACTCCTATGTGCAACTTCTTAACAGGTGTTCTCAGATTTCTCTTGTGGCCCAAATTTAAGGGTCTTCTTCGTCCTTCAACGTTTTTCATCCTCCATATCCAATCTGTCATCAGAGTTTGTTTTCAAACACAATGGAGAAGCTGACTGCTCCTCATCCTTCCCCAAAACCTCCCTATTCCAGCCTCGTCATCTTCTAACAGCTCTTGAACTCATCTCCTATTTCTTACACTGTTTTCTTCACTCCCCACACAGCTTTCAGAACATCTCTTTTCTACATCACACCTCTTTCATTCTGCACAATACCCCTGAACAGGTTTCCATCCCATTAAGCTCCTGACTAAAACCTCACCTTCAAGAAAGGAGACCTTTCTTTGAGCATGATACAGTATTTAGAATTGTAATCTATTTCTTTTGCTTCCTGAAGATACAGAAGGAAACGTCAACTCCAACTGAGATCAGGCTCTTGCTACACACTCACAGTATGGATAACTTCTACGACCTCAGTGGGGGTGGGAATTTCTCCTCAAAAGCAAAGGAGCAATACTGATTCTGCAGCATTGGGAACCAGCTGTGTCACTAAACCCAATTCAATACTAATCTCAACTACCTAAAAAGAGTATCGGGTCCCTCATGTGTTGAGTCTGCCACCACAACTTGAATTTAGGTGTGAGTTACAAGCCCTAGGTATTCTCACTGGAACTTGTGCTAGGCCTTCTATAAATGGGGTTCCTGTACCTCCTTATGAGGTTGATTCATCTGCTTATGTTTACCAACTTATTGAAAAGGACATAAAAAACACACATAAGTGGCCAGATGAGGTGAAGCTGGAGTAAGGTATGAAAGAAGGAAGGGCCATGGAACCTCCATCCCTCCCTCTTTAGGAGCACCACCTCCAGAAACCTCATCATATCCAGCTGCCTGGAAGCCCTCAGAAACCATCCCTCTGGTTTTCTCTGAAGGTTTGTTTCATTACATAGGCACGATTGCTTAGAAACTGAGTGGGGAGACCTAGCAAAGCCCATCTACTTAGATTCTTCCTGGCCTCTGTGTGGCGTTCCTTCCAAGGTATAGTACTGGACTCTGGTCTGAGCAGGGTCTTATGGTTCATGATCAATGGTAGGTCAGAATTTCTGTGGCTTGCATGGGGAGGGAGGTATGAGTCAAGAGTTATTGTTGAAAACAAACAAAATATATGTGGTGGAACATACTCTGGAAGGCCAAAGTAGGAGAGTTGCAAGTTAAAGCCCAGCCGATGCTACCCTGGCAGCCTATACTACGTAGTCAGACCACATCTCAAAAAACAGTACATATGATAATGTACTTCATTTCCTTTCTGGCTGGATTTTCCCCTCAACAGATATCACAATCTAATGCAAAAGAAATTTTCCCTGATTGTCTTATTGCATCTGTGTCTTCCTGCACCCAAGTTATATCTGTACCATGGGTTTTCAGGTCTTTAGTTCAGAGCCAGCGAGTTTTTGACTCTTAGAAAGTGATCTCTGCATACAAAATACGCCATTTTAAAGTTGCAGAGATAAATAAGAGCCAAAATATTTAGTATGATGACTAGATTTCAAATCTCAGTTTATGCCTCAAGCTAGGTTCAAATTTTACTGATATGGAAATTCCTCTTTTAAGGGTTGGGAAATAAAATATTTTTCTCTGAGTTGCATGTAACTAGCAAACTGAAACAAAAATATTTCACCCCCAATATCCCCATTTTGTTTTAAGGGAATTTATTATTAGAATATCAGATTATTTCAGCTCTACTTTAGTTATTAGTTAAAGTATTTAAACAAAGTTGCAGTAAAAACACATAGGAGGCCCAATAGAAGCCAATAAACAATTCAGAACATTCAAATGTGCCTTTAAATAACATATCCAAAGTTAGAGAAAAACTAAGCTCACATAAGTTTACTTGTCCAGTCAGACGTCAATGCACTGATAAAGGATTGTGAAATCTTGTGGGTTTGTATAATCTATTAAAAGCATGTTCTCATGAGAAGTGAAATGTATTTTTGCAATGTCAGCTTAGATACAGTGGGTTAAAATTCACGAAAGTGACAACAGGAAAATGATGAAAGAATTTCAAGGATAACAATTTTGGAATCCTTTATTTTTCTCCTATTTTATGATAAAAATGGTAACAATAATAAATAGGTAAAATAAAGTTTCTGTCATCTCTTCATCCTAATATAGGGAAAATACCTTCATTTTTTCGCATGAAACTTGAATCTCCACAGACAGATGAGTATTACATAATTGAAGTCATAAAGAACAGACATACTTGCTGTGCATTTCCCAAAAACTTATATAAGTTTATATTGTTTTTTACATTTCAAGTGATTTTTAAAGTTTTTAAAATAATAAGCTATATAGTAATTCATCAAATATGTATCTTACTTATACAGCCATTTTACTATACTGAAATTCTAATGTCATAAATGATGTTCATAAGTTAGCCTTATTCTTTGGAAAAGTTTCTTAATGACAGTTGACCATATGTTGGGCTACATGGCCAAAGGAAAACTATTCTGGATTTCTTGGTAACTATTGCTGACTTCTGCTTAAAATGATGGTCCATATTTATAAATATTTCAGTCATATGTGAGTATAAAGGTTTTCAATTTAACACCCCCATGTAATGGTGTTTACTTTTAGAATCATATATGTGTGTGCATGTGTGGTGTTAGGGACTGAACCAAGGCTTTGCCGATTCCAGACAAGCACTGTTCCACCGAGCTACTCTCCACAGCCCAAGCACTATTAGAGTTTGATCTCATTTTGTTTCCCATTCTGGCCCAAACTCTTAGGCTCAAGGGTAGCTGAGACCTTAGGCAGTACTGTGCCCAGCTAATTTCATTTTTATTATTAATGTGAAAGAGACATTTATGTGGAATTATTTGTTATTTATTGCATTTCTTAGATTATTGTCTATTTATATCTATTGTTTATACATCCCCAGAGGAGCTTTCTTTTACATATATATGGAAAACTGCTAATCTTATGTAGGATGTATTTATCACCTTTCTATTTATAGTTTCTGTAAATTCTTCTTAAACTATTTTCTATTTAGAATTGTCAATGTTTGATTTTAATATTTAGGGCAAACAGTTACTTTGTAACATTCTTTATTATTTAAGAAAAAACTTGTGATTCATATAAGAATAGTTAAAAAGTATATAAAGTAAAAATCAGGTCATATATTTGTACAAAAAGAACCCTATTAAGCAATATGCCTGCTAGATAGATTGCAGTAAAAAATACCCACATTGTACCTGATACCAGTTGTGCTCCTCACTGGAAGTGAAGGAAGAAAGAACATCAGTGTTTTAATCTAAACATTTTAATCTAAAAATTTTTTTTGGCTATGTTATTATCTAGCTGTATGATCTTACGCAGATGTTTTAGCTTCTTTTACCTTTAGTTTCTTTACATATGTAATATATTACAATATCAATGAAAACAATCTCTTTATGAGGTGCACCTCAGCTCAGGGGTAATTTGTGTGCTTAACATGTATGGAGCCATAGTTCAATCCCCAGCAGCAAAAGGAAAATATAAAGAATTACTATGAGGGTTTAAAATATTTTTTGTAAGTTGCCCGATACCCAGAAAATTATCAGATAATGAATATTCATTATTTTAAAATTTCATATTTTTGTATATGGGCTTTTAATGCTTTATCCTTACTGTAGCTCCATGAGGTATATGGACAGATTTTCTTCATTTTATAGCTTACAAAACCAAGAATGAGAATGCGTAAGTAACTAGTCATCGTTAACCAACTGGAGTGGAGATTCTGGGATCTGAAAGCAGGCAGTGTACTATTGGAACATTAGTGGGCCAGGGATTTAGCTCAGAGGCTCTGGCCTGCCTCACAAGCACAAGATCCTGAGTTCAATCCCCAGTACCACCAAAAAGCACTCTGAACCACCACGGAAAACGTTCATGGTCTCAGTTCTGTGCCTTCGTTTTTAACCACTATTTTCAAACGGTCAATGACAAATACTAACCACTTGGATCATTCTGTGTAAGTCTTCCCCGGTTTTCAAGATGAACCTAAATTTTAATATCTCCATGCAGAATTTTTCTCTGATAAGCCTTTCTCTAGTTGAAGTGACTTGAGCCTCTCCTATATTTCCACAATAGTTATCTATAGCACTTTTATGTGCTCAATTTACATTATACCTATGGGAGTCTATGTCTTAGATGATGAACTGTTGAAGATAGAAAATTTCATTCTTTGCATCCCTTCCATGGATCTACTTCAGTAAAGTATATGTAGATATCCAGAAATTATTTGTATGTGAGCAAGAAAAGATTATAAAAGGCATTAATTTAAAGTAAGAAGTACTGTGTGACAAGTAAAGAAGAGAATAACTAAAATTTGTTATATTATGCTTGAAGTCAAGCCAATATTTTTTAACAAAATAGGCATAATTATATGGCAAATATTTATTAGTTCAAACTACAAAATATTAAGTATATTTCATGCATATTTATGCACATTTATCCATTTTTTCACTTAGCAAATCTTAACAAAAAGTCTTTGTATAATCTTTTAAAACAACCACATAAAATTAGTGATACAAAATATTCCATTAGAAATTACTGATCATCTATATTAAAATTTCTGTCACACACATACACACACACGTAGACACATACAATCTATAGAAACAATTTTTAAAAAAGACATTAAAAGTAAACCTCTTTTACCTTGGATTGTAAAGCAGGCAGCACTAATTTATCCACTCTGTTCTCTATACAATTGAAAACTAAAATCTTTGTATCATAGTATCTCAGCATCTGATCCTTGAAGAAAGGAAATTTGTGTTACCAATTTTTCTTAGAAATGTGTTCGAATAGCACTTTCTTCAACCCACAAGTTTGCAAAATCTGAGTCACACAACTCATTCCTCCTCCCATGAGGGACATTAAAAAATAAAACGAGAAGTAGAAAGGAAAAGAAACAAGGCCATTGGAACAAGGCACATAATTATAGCAGAATGATATTTCACTTTAGCAAGTTATGTGTGCCTTATAACATTTGATAATCCCCATTATCTCTTCACGTTTGATTGGTTTTCCTTTGTCCTTTGTCTTGTACCCTGTATCCCAGGTCTGAAACACGGAACACATTAAGAAAGGATTTTTAAGGATTATGCCTTAAAAATAAAAGTAATATTCAAGTAATGCTCACTTTAACTCTCTTTATACCGATCCAAACATTACTGGTTTTGACTACGCAGCATGTTACTTATTTTCCCCAGGAGCACAGAGGTTTCAAGTGTGGGATCAGAAGAAAGGAAAACAACCTTACTTTGTACTATTCCATCAGAGTTGTATTTTATCTCATTTACTGACTCCAAGTTCAACAACTTGAAGTATGTCATATATAAAACATATTTAACATTGCATTCATGAGATTTTAAAACTAATACTTCTGAGAGAAGGTATTTAGTTTAGATTTTATAAGCACTTCTGGGTCGTCTAAGCAGGCGGAATAGTACTTTCTATCAAAGGGTGGTCAAAATTGACAAACACACACTATCTCCTAGAAGACAATATGCCTAGCAGAAAGAACAGGAAGCATCTCGGTCTTCGTTTTGTTTTGTTTTTTGAGATAGTGTCTCGCTGTGTAGCTCAGGCTGGTCTTGAACCCACTTTGCAACCCAGGCTGGCCTTGAGCTTGAGGTGATTCTCCTGCCTCAGTCTCCCAAGTGCTATTATTACAGGTCTGTACCACCATGCCTGGCTAGTCCAGCCATTCTTAAGGTAACCAGTGAAAGGCAGACAGTAGAGCAGGGAGTAGAGCTCAGTGGTAGAGCCCTCGCTTAGCACGCTTGGGGCCCTGGGTTCAATTCCTAACATTATTAAAGAAACAAAAAATAAATAAATAAGGAATAATGGCTAAGAGTAACAGAGCCATTAAAGCAAGCTACACAGTTTCTAGCCAATTAGTTTTCAGCTAGAAGTAGGATCATGCCAAGCATAGAGCAGTATAATCCCAAAACTCAGCAGGCTGAGGCAGGAGGATCATAAATTTGAGACCAAGTTAGACCTCCTCTCAAAATAAAATTTAAAAAATCCTGGGATATAGTCTATATGAAGCCCTAGGTTTAACCCTCATTACCACACTCACACAAAAATCTTATGATCAAAAGTTGATATAGTCTGGATTAGCCTCAAGGATATCAAGCTATTCCTTGAACAAAGTAGTTTAAATTTACACAAAAGAGGAAGTGAAAAGGAACTGGAAACTAATATCAAAACTCACTCTACTTCCTTTATAATTATCTGTACATATATCTCATTTTAGAACAGTGGGTCTGCCAAATCTGGAGTTGAAGAATCCCTTCTTATAGTATTAATCTGGAGACCCCTGTAGCCAACCCTACAGATTTAGACAAGTTAACTCTGGAATTTACAGGATAAAACACCAAGGTACCAACTTTCCAAAAATAAGAAATATTTTCAATAAGAGTGAGCTTTATCATTAGCTTGTCTCTATAATATTGTTGTTATATAGCTGTATTTCCACACAGCAAACCATTTTCTTTTTTTTCTCTTTTTTTTTTTTTTTTTTTTTTTTTTTTTTTTTTTTTTTTTAGTACCGGGAATTGAACTTGGGTCCTTGTGCTTTGCAAGGCAGGCCACTGAACTGCTAAGCTAAATCCCCGGCCCTGTAAACCATTTTCTTATTTGATTGTTTCTACATTCTTAGATACATATAATTATTCATTTAAAAAAACCCTCTCACCCTCATTATGTGTAAATATATAATGGCATATATAGAGATGCCACAGACAGATGTGTATATCTAAGCATAGTTATGTTTATATGTACCTTTTATAATGTTTTATATTACATAATAGTCACTGTTAGGTCTTAGCTTGTGGTAAAACAACTTTCCAGAAAATCAAGTAGAAAATGTTTAGTTTAAGATTAAGTTTACATGAAAGAAGAGGGAATATCTAAGAGGCTGTACTTTATTATTTCATTTAAATTCACAACTTTTTTTTTTTTTTTTTTTTTTTTTTGGTACCAGGGATCAAACTCAGGACCTTGCACTTGGAAGGCAAGTGGCAGAACCACTGAGCTAAATCCCCGGCCCTAATTTCATAACTTTGCCAGATCATTTTCCTGATGAAGAAATTAAGGCTTAGAAATGTACTGGAGTAAACTTCTCAAGATCATAAATCTATGACTCATCAGAGGGAATAGTCAAAAGCATACTGATTTCAAAACCTAGCAAAATATGTAGGCAAAATATAATGACTGTAGGGTCATTATAAGTATTATTAAGGGTCTACTAATTCTCCATCGGAAATGTTATATCTAAAACCATAAACATTCTAGAGCATATTGATGAACATCTTTCTTCGTTACTAGGATAGAGTTTTAATTACTTCATTTGTGTTACTTTTGGAGATAAGTGTGTAGTCTGAAGGCTCTGCCTAGTGTAGTATAAGATTCTGCCTAGTCTTGGGCACAGTGGGACACACACCTACCATCCCAGCACTCAGAGAGGCTGACTCAGGAGTGTCACAAGTTGGAGACCAGCCTGGGAAACTTAGCAATTCTGCAAGATCATGTCTCAAAATTTTAAAAAGTCCTGGAAATACAGCCCACTGTAAAGCTCCACGTTCAATACCCAATACTAGGGAAAAATATTTTGTCTGCTTTTCAAAACAAGGTTCACATGAAATAGAGAAATGGATTGGAAGAGCTGAGTTAAATAGCCTAGGGCTCATTGTAATAGAAACATGGAGAACTCCAAGCTTAAAATTGTATTGAATCATTCTTCCTAACAGATAAGATATGACATTTGTGAGAAATTTGCAAAGATACATTTTTCATGTTCTAGATTAACAGCTATAATTAAGATACTGATTTAAGTACAGGTTTTAATAATGCTGTAATGGACATCTGTCTTCTCCTGAATATAATGCTTTTATCGAAGATGGATATTGAAAAACTGCATGCCAGTAGAGCTTTTGTCTGATTATCATAAATAGGAAAAAAATCCAGATATTACCAGAGGCTCACTGAAGCGCAGATTTAATGGTGATTGTGTGCTGCTCCCCTCCCTCACTCCAATAGAGTGGTAAATGCAAGCAACAGTGGGGCCTCGGGTCGACGGCCATTGGGCTATTTTAAAGGAAGTTTGTTGGGAAATCAAAAACCCACAGAGGACAGTAGAGGAAACTTTAGCTTCTGAAAGCTATATCTACAGGACATATTAAATACAACCTGACTCCTAGCCATATTACTATACAACTTCATGCTAAAAATAAGCAAATATAGCTAAGACTCTAAAAGTCACACACTCCTTGGACAATTAGGGAAGTAGATATATTTACAAAATGCTCTTGACTAATTTCTTTGCAGGCTCAGCTGTCTACCAGAAGCAAATTTCACAATTTGCCCTCTCCTTGTGATCAGGTCTCACTAAAAAGACAAAATGGAAGGAAAAAAGTGATTGTGAACTCATTTTTGTGTGCTATTTTTAAAAACATGACTGCACGTTGCCTTGAATTTGGGGAAGTGTGGGTTCAAAATTGCAGTGAAAGATCCATACAGTTTAGAAAAGTTTAAAAGTTGTAAAGTGTCAATTAATCAAACCTGAGCAAAATACAGAAAGCAAGCTCTTAACCAGAAATATCTGAAATAATTATGGGATGTCAGCTCATGGGCCCAAACTGAGACTAGGACTCATACCGTAGTCCAGTGGACTATAACAAAATGTATACCAGTACTTCATACAGTTTCACGTGCTCCACACACTTTCATTCTCAGGGGGAGGGAAAAAAGAAAGAAAAAGAACCTCTTTATTTTTGAAATGACAGGATTTATACGCTCTTTAATAAATTATCTAGGGTCACCTGGCCAGTGACTGAGGATGTACTAGAATGTGTATTCAATGAAGTTCTTTCCACTAAGCCACATGGGTCACTTAGCCTTCAGGAACAAACATGCAATAAGTCCCCGACTAACGATGGCGTTCCATTCCCTGAGAACGCTTGTGAGCCAGATTCTTTCCTAAGTTAAAATGAGTCTCATACAGCTTTGACACAAATGTACACGGTATATTGCTTTGCTCTTCCTACTGGCCCCTTCCACATCACCACCGATTTTCTTCTTACTTCTGGACCTCCTGGGCTCTGAGTGAGCACTGTACTACTGGACACTATCGGACCTTACAGTGAGCACACAGCAGCACGACTGTATTAATGTCCAGTAGACACGAGAGGTATTTTAAGATTTGTTCACATCTGCCAGTGTTCATCATGGGAGGTCCATTTGTATCTGCAACTTTAACATTTGTAAGTCTGGGACTTACTGTAGTCTCAGCATTTCTATCTCCCTCCATAATATCTCTAAAACCACTGCTGACAATGTTCAAGAGTACCCCTGAAGCTCAAATCTTCTGTCTGTTTAATTAACTCTTTAAATGCCTATGTCCAAATATACTCATATCCTGAGGTACTGGGGGTTTTAGGACATATGAGTTGTAGAGGACATAATTCAATCCATAAAAAGGATTATATCATTAACCTGCCCTGAAGTCATCCCTCCAGGGCACTATAGCAAAGTAACTTACTGGGACACAAGATTTCTACAAACAATAATAGAAACTCAGAACTCACACCATTTGAGGTGCTAAATCTTGGCCCAACTCCATCTTATAGTGAGTCCTATAAGACTGTAGACCTATTTGGTGGTTATTTCCCCAGACAAAAGTATGTGCTGAAAAGATTTGCCAGGATCCATATTGCTTTTCTGAGCTGTGGAGTAAAAACTTTTATGGTAGAAGGGCAAAATAAAAGACACTTAAACACCTCTTCCTCACCAGGATAGTAATCTAAAAACGATACTCCACCTCTAGGAGGGCTAGAGAT